CGGAACAAAATAGTGAGGAAAGTACTTCGATATATTTTGTGATAGTACAGTAAATCCGTACGGGTTGTCAAAAAGCGCGGGGTGGCTATATTGCGACCGTTTTTGGACGTATCAAAATTTCATCAAACGTCAACGTTTTAGATCATTTTAAGCAACTTTTAAAGAATAAAAATTTTTACTGTCTGTTTTAACTCGTATACCTATGTACGTACATAGGTTGGCAGATTAGGCGTAAAGGATGTAAACGTCATACTATTTTTTTTTAAATAGCAATAACGCAAAATTTTTATTAAATTATTCGGAAGACTTTCTTTTTCTGTGTACAACCTATACAAATTATGCTAGGTTTTATTACAAATAAACTTTTTTCAAATACATACTAGCGCTAAATTTTTTATTTAGTTATTTGAAAGAGATTATTTTTCTTGGTTTAACCTACACAAATTTGGTTTTATTACAAAAAAATATATGTATTAAATTCTCCGAAATACAGCAGCTTAGTGCGCGGTTACTAAATACTTAGGATTTGAAAAGAATATTTAAAATTCATTGTCGGGTCGGGGCATATTGAAGGACTCTTCAGGCTACAACCTAAAAATATTTTCAACGAAATTGCAATTGTTATACAGGGTGATTTAAATCAAAGTTGCACTTTTTTTAAATATAACTCCCTGTTTTATAATTAGAAAAGGTGTTTTAACTTTTAACGGCCTATTAATTACTGAGAGGCTTTAAAAATCGACAAACCTTGTGTATTATTAGAAATGGTTGAATTACAAAAATATATATAAAAGGTAAATACGGCGTGCTTATATCGTTAGAAAGGTAATCAAATCCTACATTTGATGCAATAAAAAACTTGGTAGTTTCATTTAAAAAAATCAAGTTATCTTTGATTGAAATTTTGAAAATTTACAGTGATTTCTTTTAGCACAAAAAAAGTTTAACTTTGACCGTTCGGCGTATTAGGTAAGCACACGTGATGATCAGTAATACTGCAGCGTCATGGCCTTCTAAGTTTTATGGAAACTTCGTTTTCAATTTTTACTGGACATTTATTTTTTGAAAAAATGACGCTCAGCCACTCATTTTAGATATCATGTGTAAATAAAGTCACACTAAAATTGACTAAGTAATCGAAATATGCAATAATATAGGTGAGTTCTATTTAAAAAAATACAACTTTGATATAAATCACCCTGTATACATCATCGAGATTTTGTTTGATTCGGATTCCTGGTGCCTCAAAACATGTATTTGATGTATTCCCGTCAAAAAAGGGAGGGATCATTTTTTACCCCACTGCAATACCTCCCTGACTGACATGCGGGTAGTAAAATTAAGTTAAAATAAAGAAACAGATAACGAGTGAAGTTTTCAGGTAGTTGTAAAAAGCTGTTCTGCAAGAATTTTACACCTGGTTTCAATTTCATTTGGCGATGCCTTGAATGAACGTATCTATAGACATATCAAAACTTTCGATTGATAGTAGTTGATTACAGAATTTTAATTTTCAGGCTGAAACTGAAACTACCATTCTAAAGAAAGAAATTGTTCTTGGTTTCTATTAATTTAAATTAAAGGAGAGAGAACGGCCACAGATACGCCCACACAAGGTCGTAATTGAACACAAACACACAATACAAAGACCCACTGTTTTAATTACGAAGAAAAAAATTCATATCATATTGCTTTTCAGCACCATCAATAGTAAAAACCTTCTATGCCATCGTTATACAGACTCCTGCTGATTATTTTAAGCTGAGACCCAAACTAAAACTTTCGATTTAATAAAATTCATATAGGTGCGCTAGCAACTGGAACGTTTGTTGTGTTTCCACAATCGCCTATCTCATGATCCATCTGTAGTATATTTAAATCTGTGCTATAAGGCTCATTTAATAGAGATTTTTTTTCCTTTTCCAATGACGTAACACGTTAGCACCTGTGTAGAAGAAATTCATTTTCATTTCAAGTTTTTTGTGATAAGATATGCCACTGTACTGCAGTTAAAGGTGCATTGCAATTCAAAAAAATTCAATTGTTTTTCGTTACTCATTTGTTTTCTAAAATAAACACAACTGAATAGACTAGAGCCTGCCCATCTACACTACAGCAGACAGCTTTTAGTAAAAATTTGTCTCTAACTATTGTAATTCCGGAGATTTCAGACGTTGCGCTGTCATCGGTTGGAATTTCCGAGGCAGTACTTGTATGAAACAAATCTCAGCCACGGATCAGCCAACCATGCTTAAAAAAAATGCAAGAGGACTCAACCACAGGTTCAATCAGACTTTTATAAAACTAACCCGTCAGTATAGAAATAACAAAATCTCAAGCCAGAATAGTTATTTATATAACAAGAGCGCGAAGTTCAATTTCGCGCATTGAGACTGAAGGTATTTTGATAAGGCGAAGCCGAGTCAAAATATCAGTCAAATGTGCGAAATAACTTCGCGCTAGCGTTATATACAATATTTTTTCTACAACTGAACCGATTGTTAATTAAATTTGCTGTTTAAGTTCAATTTTATCACGTGCGCGAAATACTTTTTTTCACTGTTGACGATTTCGCGTAACTTGTCAAGAGCAACCTTACTTATTAATTAACCGTTTAAAAATCTAGTACTTCGCGTTTCGAAATTCGTCAGAAAATGACAGGTTTTTTTGACAGTTGTAGAAAAAAGTTTTTTTATCGGTCAGGAATTACAACCGATATTGAGACATATATTAAGTTGTAAAATTTGCCAGAAAAACCCTAAACAAAAAAAAAATCTTGTCATATCCAATACCTTAAAGAAAGGGAACATGTGGGATCAGATATTTTTGCTTATGCTAATTAAAGTAATTGTGTGTTGTTTGATGCATATTGAAACTGGTTAGAGGTTTTACCTATTTAAGAATAAAAGTGCCGAGTTTGAAATTTCTTAACTTAAAACAGTTTTTGCAAGGTTTGGTTCCCCTGATATACTTCTTACTGATAATGTGCCATATAATAGTGAGGAATTTTTTTAATTTGCAAAAGACTGGAATTTTACTCTTGTTACACATAGTCCAGAATCTCCATGTTCAAACGGGTTAGCATACAAAGCAGTATCGAATGCTAAGAACCTCCTTAAAAAATCTTTAGAGGAAGATAAAGGTGATTTAATTTGCGCTTTGTTGAACTATCGCCATTGAACATTGAAAGGGATGTGCTATTCACCATCACAGCTCTTAAACAGTAGGAATTGTAATTCCAATCACTTGTAATTTACTACAGTCTTGTTGTTGTGTGTAAGTGTTACTTAAAAAATGCTTAAAAAGCGAGAACTCAATGAAAAATATTTCAATAAAATAGCTAAAATATTAAAACCATAAATTAGACCTTCCCCATAGATTCTTTAACACTGAATTTATGCTACATGTTTCAACAACTCCACGTCATCTTTAGGCAAATGTAATTAATTATAACAAAGTGGTTAAATCTTAAAATTTGACAAAGAATATTTGAATTTGAAGTAAAGGTTAAAATTGAGCGAAATGTGATAACGTCACGTTTAAATATCAAAAATTCTGAAGGTAATGGATCCAAGATGGTAAGGTATTAACGTGGTGAAAGTTTCAACGGGAATTTATCTGCACGTAGAATGGTGTAACCACACGTTTTGAAAATATACTGACAAGTGATTAAAACTGGATTATTAGTTCAGACTGTAGGGACGAACCTAAGATGGGTGTGACATGGTAATCTTCATTAGATCCATTAATAAACAAGGAAAACTAAAGACAAGAGGGTGAAGCCCAAGTTAAATGACAATTGAGTTAATTGGATAACTAGAACCATGGGGATAGTAATTAATTAAACATTTTAAAGACAGATGAAAGTGGAATAAACCACGAAATGTATCGGACGATCAAAAATGAGTTGCTGTCAAGTCATCTTTAGAATTTTTGTTTACATGGGAAATCATACTTCACTTGAACTTCCAAAGGCGACTCGTTTTTGATCGCATAGTAGAATATTAGAGATTAAAAACGTGCACACCACTGGTGGTCATGTGTCCCATTTAATGACAAAATGCGTGCATTAAAACCACTTAGTGAAGATAGTGATGTTAACTGTTAAATCACAAACGCAAAATTTGGGAATCCAGTCAAAATTGAAAGTATGCATGAGAACCCAGATCATATGTGTTACAGGATTTACAAGGACAACACTATACAAAAAAAATCATGTACATATAAGATCTTCATGTTGTTCAAAGCAATCTCTTCTGCCAAAAGGTGTGGCTTATAGGCTGCGCGACAGGAACGGCGCAAATCGTTCGCGCCAAGAGAGTTGTGGAGCTGTTTGTGTAAGCTGTGGTTATTTGGCCAAAGCCAAAACTGAAGTGACACATTTCATAATTTATAAATCTGATCACATTCCTACATAGCGCTCTTTGAATGAGTAGTACTCTTCGCAATACTGCTTTTTACTAACATGGCGGTCTTTCGTCTAAGATATCAGAGTCTCCCTACAATATGCTCAACAATTGTTTTCACACATAATTTGCTACACAAATTGTAGATCAATTACAAAAGTTTATTTAACCATCTTAATAAAACAATAATGTTTGCAGAAATTTTTTCTTAACACTTTTGCTGTAAATCTATACTAAAACTACGAGATTTAAGGAAATGTTAGCAGACAGTACTTTTAAAAAATAAATTTTTCTCTGATCTCCCTCCCTTCCCCTCATTTAAATACGAAATGTCTACTAAAACAGGAAAAGCTCCCCCTACACTATATGCTTACGGATTATTGAGCATTACGATCAACTATCACAAATAGGGGTATATTTCGCATATATATACAGAAAAGAGACTTACAAATGAAAATACTGTTAATTTCCTTTAAACTTACAAAGAACATACTTCAAAATAACAGTATAACGGAAAAATAAATATCCTACACATACATACATTAACTAAAAATACTTCTTCGTACTAGTCAATCAAATACTGCTCTAACATACCAGAAAATTTGTTTGTGGAATCAGGTTTCGGATTAAGGGCCCTGCGTTTCGCTAGAGGCTCATCGTCCTCGGAATCGGAGCATGTTAAATCGACCAAAACCTCGTTGGGTTTCGGCGCTGCTGTCTCATCTTTCGGTTTCTCGGTGTTGTTGTTAGTTGAAGACGATTCGACTGGATTCGTCACAGAACTAACCACCTCTGAAACAAGAACTTCGCATTAAATTAGAAGAGTGGATTTTTCCAGTCAAGATATGATAGATAATAATTAAATCCAAAGATTATTAGTTTACACATTTTGAAACATTGTTTTATGTTAGTCCAGCTTAAGGTTCTACTGAGAATGGGATACATTTTTAACGCCTAGTCCTAAGCTAGAATTTTTTCCAATGTACAGGGTGTCGCGGATCTAGTGGAATTGTATAGGTGACTGCTATTCTTGTAGAGATTAAATGGGAAAAGTCTTGCAGTTTTATGTGCTGATTTTGAAAATTCCAACCCAATTTAAAAGATAAAAAAATAAAAACCGCTAATTTTCAAAAAATGTGGTCTTCCCTTTATTATAAACATAAACTTTTACATAACTGTGACATACACAAACACCATACAAGAAATACTTATGACCTCAGGGTGCCACGAGGAAGAACTAACGTTAATCAGTCCAGACCCTATATTATAGGAGTTAAAATTTTCAATAGTTTGCCAATTGCCATTAAAACGACCAACAACTTCCATACGTTCAAATGTAATCTAGTCAATTTTCTTTTAGATAAAATGTTCTATAACGTTGAAGAACTCTTAAATGATCCTGGTGCACTTCGGTACGTAGCAAACTGTTACTTGTATTTCTGCGCTTGTTTCATTGTACTCACATTTGACTTTGTCCTATACATTTTTATGTATGTAACAGAATTAAATAAACATTATTATTATAAAAGTAATATTTATTCTATCAAAATAAAAATCCTTGATCTTAAACTTTTTGTAAAGTAGGATTTTCCTTAGTTTGCGTGCATGTAATCAATTCTGTTTTTGGGAATATTGTAATGCCAACGTATAAACAATGTAAAAAAAAATCACTTAAATCACAATAAACGTTGGAATTACGCATTTATATTGGTCTGATCAATGCATTTCACAAAATACAAGGGTCTTGAAGCAGATTTGTGCGTTATTTAAAAAATAAAACCAAAAACCTATTGTTTTGTTTTTGTTTTCAGGTGACCTGTCAATCAAAATTGTGGTAGCGTACGTTTACATTGCGACACTTCAAGTTTGAAACTGTTCGCTACGATATTTTTATCGCGTTTTGCCTTATTAGCCAATAAAAAATCCGTTAGTTTCCTAAGTTCCGTAAACCTTACTGCGATATTCTGCGCCAAAAGTTGTATAACGCAAAAATGCCATCAGGTTTACCAAGAAAAAGATATGGTGGTCCACTTTTACCAGTCGCAGCATAATATAAGAATTCGTGTACGTAACTATTACAGCTGGTGGGATTGCTTACGTTCAACAGACGAAGCGCTTGATTAGTGCTACCTAAAGGCAGGGTCTAGTAAGATTTCTCACGCGAGTTGCTGTCATACGTTCCACTTACGCTGGTATGTACAGGGTGAGTCAACGATTGCGCAGAGTAACTTAATGCCTTAGCCCTTTTGTATTATGATATGGTTGAATAGTCTCTACATACTACATCCTATATTTGAATCCATTTTTGAATTCTACGTGTAATTGTACGTCTTTGTTTAATATGGTTAATATCTGAAAAGCTGTTAGTTTTATAGATAATTTGATTTTTAAGAAAAATTGGGCATTTGCAAGCGTCAGTATATATTGTCAAACTTATCATGGGTTAAGTAAAAGTCAAATAAATACATCTACTATGAAACATTAAAAATATAGCTTACAGGGGTAGGCCCTAAGTTGTAGGACTTCATATTAAAAAATCTCACTTTTTTTAAATGGAACACCCTGTATATTTTTCCGTCAGCTACTCCAAAAAGTTCAACTTTTGATAATAATGTCCTATACCTATCTCTGATAGTTTTCGAAATATCTTGGATTTCCTAATGTCATCCTGTCAGTGATATTAGTTTAATTTTTTTTTCATATTCACATATACATATAACTTATTTAAGATTAGAATATAAAAACCAGGAAAACCAAGATGTCTCAAAAACTATTAGAGATAGGTATAGGACATTATTATCAAAACTTACATACAGGGTGCTCCATTAAAAAAAGTGAGATTTTTTAATATGAAGTTTTGTAACTTTGGATCTAGAAGAAAAAACTCTGTAAGCTATTTTTTTAATGTTTCATAGTAGATGTATTTATTTGACTTTTACTTCCCCAGGATAAAAGGTATAAAACCTGGAATCAAAATTGAAATAATAAGTTTGACAATACATACTGACGCTTGCAAATGCCCAATTTTTCTGAAAAATCGAATTATCTTTAAAACTACTAGTTTTTGGGATATTAACCATACATTAAAAAAGACGTACAATTACACGTAGAATTCAAAAATGCATTCAAATACAGGGAGTTCTAATTAAAAAAATGTACCATTTTGGCGCCTTACTTTGTGGGCGCACCCTGTATAATTCCAAATATTTTTAAAATGTAGAGAATATTCAACCATATAATACAAAATCACTCTTATCGAAAAATCTTACCTTCAAGGCATTAAGTTACTCCGCGCAATCGTTGACTTACCCTGTACACCTCGATAATGCTATCAGACAGAAATTCGCGCGAGAAACCTTGCTGGAGTATTCCCGCCCTTAGGTGGCGCTCATGAAGCGCTTCGTCTGGTGAACGTAAGCATTGATAATGGTTTAATAAATGTAATGGAAAAAGTTCGTTACTATGGTTTAAAGACATAAAACAATAGTTATTTACATAAAAGTCAAGATAATCACACTTTACTGGCGAGGAAATATTGAAGTGCGAGGTCCCTTGGGGCCGAGTACTTTAATTTCAGAGTTTTGTATTAAATTTTACCCGAAATCGTATCTTAATATAACATTTTAATTTGTATATAAAACTTTTGTCAATCTGTCAGTGATGACAGGAGTCATTACAGACATTACAAATGTCAAAAATGCGGCCCGTAAGGTGACGGTGCGGCCGGAAAGTGATAGCTGCGGCCAGGAAAGTGATAGCTGCGGCCAGTAAAGTGACAAGCGGCAGGACATTTTAGCGGATTGCCAGTTTGGATTCAAAAAAAATTTATCTACGTCAGACGCCATTATTTCGTTGCTTGATGAAGTAATTTAAAATTAGAAGAAAGAAAAAAAAACCATGGGAATATTTTTTGATCTGCCTCGCGCATTTGAAACCGTTAATCATGAACTTCTATTACAAAAACTGGATAGATTTGGAATCAGAGGAACTCCTGCCAAGTGGCTTAGGTCATATCTGTTTAAACGTAGCCAACAAGTCGTGTTGAGACACAGAGGTGAAGAAGCCTATTCCAGCTTTTTGCAAGTACCTAAAGGAGTTCCCCAGGGTAGTATTCTTGGACCTCTTTTGTTTTTGTTATTCATCAACGCCGTAATTAATCACTGCAGTCGTGTAAAACTAACATTATATGCCATCGTACAAGAGGAAAACATACCTTCCTTGAGCATCACGGGCACTCAGTCAGTAGAGCTAATGAATTTATATTGTTGTAACAATGGCCTTTCATTGAATATCTGCAAAACAGATATGCTCTTTTTTTCACATCGGGAGCAGAATTTTAATATTCTAATTCGATCACAGACAAAATCCATACAACAAAGTAGCGTTGTAAAATTCTTAGGTTTACATCTGGACAGCAATCTAAATTGGCATACACATGTTCAGTCGCTTATAAAAAAATTAATGACTTCTAATTTTGCCCTGTTTAGTTTAGAATTAGAAAATTAGTGAATAGTGAAACTCTGCGCTCATACTATTTTGGAAGTGTGCATTCGATATTGAGTTGTGTATGCTGGGCTAATACCAATTGGATGTCCAAAATTTTAGTTTGCCAGAAGCGAAGGATTTTTGACAAAACTTCAAATCAGTAATTTAGAAGGAAAGACAAACTGGGCTACTTGGAAATACAAGGTTTACTACGTGGTACAGAAGGTGCCATGGAGGTTGTCGAAGGTAAGCTGAAGAAGCCGATTGAAGATAAAGCAGGTGACGCCGTGAGCGATTATACAATTAGCCACGTACAAGGAGTAAAAAAAAGTAGTGCTCTCCTCATTATCACAACAGACATGACAGAAGAGACATTAAAAATGGTAATCAAATTTGAGACAGCGCAATTTATAATTTGTGTATGGAATCGGATTTATATATAAGGAAGATGACGTTTTGACACTCATGTCGAAACTTACAAATGTAAAACTACCTGACCTGTTCTTAATGTGCAAAATCCTAGATGTACTGGACAACAAGTGTTTCGCCTTCAAATCAAGTAGGATGCTGTTGAATAAGAAAGATAGAATCATAGACAATCTAACTAGTCATCTTTGTACAAATGAGAGAGCAGTTATCCCAAATCCAAAGAAGGGAAAGAACCTTAAGTGACACTATTGCTCTAAGATAGGTCACGCAGTACAACACTGTAAGAAATGAATTAATGATGGGAAGCCACCTAAACCAAGTAGTTTAGGAGCGAATTCATTATCGAATCAGATTTAGAATAATACGTTGATGGTAAATGCTTGCTCTACTGAGGTACGTCGACAATGGAGCAACAATGCACAAGTGATGTGTTCCAAAAGTTTCATGAATTTGATTCAAGTCACAAGATTAAGACGGCAGATGGCGCGACAGTTCCTACGAAAAGGAGCTATCATTTTAAGTCATGTATGGGAGTATGGCTAGTACAACTGGGTGATACCCGAAATGCGATATCGATATCCTCAAAGTATTGAAAGTATCGGAGTATTAAAATTTATTAATTAAAATTTAGCTTTGTTTATTCGTTATCAGCAAAGGTACTAGCCAATTTTTGTAAACTCAATGATTTATTTAATTTCCCTAATTACTCCCCACCACATAGGTGAAGAGGCACTTCACTTGAATAGCCGCCACTGTGTATCAAGTTATTGCATACCGATACCCCATCAGTTATTTGCGTCAAGATGTTTATTTTTTCATGATAATGGCTCTTTTTTTTGTTGCTTAAACTAAACTACAAATAGTATGTTGCTTCAATTTTGTCAACTAGTTCAGAGATTGTTTATTTCTATTACAATAGCAACAATTTCACTTTTGACACATTTTACTACAAAGCAAAAGAAAGGTAAATTTATACACACCTACGTCATCCGCAATGATTTCAATAGAATCGTCGGTAACCTTTTCAACACGTGCGGCAGGTTTCTTTTCAGCTATTTGTGTACTCCAAGAACCGTCTTTATGCAACTGTATTTCGCTAACTTCGGCACTCGATGAGCTAAGTACATCTTGAAAGTACCTGTTATCACAAATTAGTTGCGCAATAGCAATTTATACGGAGTACTGTTCACTTACCCATCAATAACTAAATTATCGTACAGTGCAGGCTTATCGCAAACAGGGCAGCTCCAAGTAGGCTTACGTTCGTTCATTTGTAAAAATAGGGACGCATCGAAACATTGTAAATGCTGACATGTGATTGATCGACATGGTGTGCTCATGCGCATTTTACCCAAGGGACACATTAACGAAACACGCAGACATGTCGTTGCAATTTCACAGTCCGCATCTTCATTTAGCTTTTCTTTGACTGAAAGTGAATAGTCAAAAATAAAAAAACCATGTGTAAAGGACTACTTACTAAGACCGCGAGTGTGGTCAGAGTGTTTCATGCCTCTACTTTTCAGTCTTTGTAAGAGATCGTTAGAATTACGTTTATGAACTAAGGCTACTGTAATAGTATAACCACGAGTATAATCTGCGGCCCACGATACGTGGATAGCATTTGCAACGGTCGGGCTCAATTTCACCATTGGTGTAATATTAACAGGCCGAGGTGGACGTTTTGGTTCAACGCCAGGCTTATTTGTGGGAATAGGATTCTACAATTAGATATTAAGAATCAACAATAAAGGTATCTAAACGTACAGGCAGAGGACATAATTTATTGTTTACTTTAACCACCACGTTCGGTGGAAAATAATCTTCCTGTTCGCATGTGGTTTCCAACAAGCAGAATCGTAGCTGAATTTGTTTAATGTATTCACATTTTGATCCGGGACGTATGTCTCGAGAACTTGCAACATCAGTCGCTTGCTGTGGAGTTAAGTGGAAATAAAACTGACTCTCTTGTATTCGTTGATTATTCTGAGGGACCAATGACGATGGTTTCAATAAATCGGCGAGGACGTCGAAAAATGGAAGTCTCTTAAATTTGACATCCGGGTGCACAGGATAATTATTGCTCATAACAGGTTGCTGTTGCTGCTGTTGTTTTTGAGCATAGTGTTGATATTGCTGGTAGATATTCTGATTGTAGATAGCTGCTTGGCGTGTCTGTAACAAATACAAAAGGTTATTATCACCATTGTAAAAGGTTGAACAATTTATGACACACATCAACCCATTCTGAGGTTTAAAGTTACACTCTCCAAAGGTCCAAAATTTCTAAAAATCCCAAACATGGAATAAATCAAGTGTTGCTAAAACAACAGAAAATAATTTGTTGTGGCTAGAACAGATACCACTCGCACACCTGAGCGATTCTGCCCAAAAGCTTTTCAGCTCTTTCTGTTATGTCTAAGAATATGTGTACCAAATTTGCTCCCAATCATTTTTACCCCAATGCCAATACTTTTATGATTAACGTGCAGGTGGTAAAAATGTCAGAATAAAGACCAAACTGGAAAAGTACCCACAGTTGAAATTTAAACAGTAGATAAAAAATCAGTGTGCATGTACAAATAAGAGTGTTCGCCATGGCAGTTATTTTTTGAGATAACGTGGTGTTCAATGAATATTCAAAATGATATCTTTTGCAAATTTTAAATAATTTGAAATCTTACAATTTAATTTTTTTGTTAGGTCAAAAACTGCAATTGAAATTATCTTTTTAAATTTAAAAAAAAACCTCAAAACCTAGGTGAAGCCGTCAGTTCCTCTTATATGCTGCGGTGGAAGATGTAAAATTAAAAAAAAAAAGTAAAATTTTGACATATAGTCCAGGCGCTGGTGGCACTTGAGTATTTTTTCGAGGTGTCCTCGGTACCATGAGCTTATTTTATGTTTTTGGGTCGATGATTCCAAATTTTGAGATTACCCTGCCCAATTCCTGGTCAGTTTTATGTTATTAACAATTTTAGTTGCAAAATTGAGTTTATTCGCGTGTTCGACAGGAAAACCAGAATATAGCTCAAATTTGATCTCGAAATTCAATTCTAAGGAAAAAAATACCATGGAAACATGTGCGACATTATATTTTTTTATTAAACTTATTTTTTTCATCGAACTTAAGATGGACAACGCTAAGCCATACAAGGTGCAGTCGATCTCGCACACTCTTCTTCGCGCATATGTTTAAAAAGAAACTATTAACTGATATTAATTACTTACCTACCAACAGAAACTAATAATACAGGGCGCCCATTATGTACGGAGATCTTGGTAAATAACGACTGTATTCAAAATTGGTCCATAGTTGGTTTTATTTCAATAAACAAATGAGTAACGAAAAACAATTGATTTTTTTTAATAGCCGTGTACCCTTTCATTAGGCTCAGTTGATAGATTTTTTCTGTTTTCGATGACGTACATGTTAGTACTCTTTTAGAACATTTAAAAAAAATCCTTATTATAATTACATTAATCTAGATATCGTACAACAAAATAAAACAAATGAATGTGTTTCTTATTAAACCTTGAAGATAAAATGAAATTAGCAATAATAGCTGAAGCAATTTCTCCCAGAACTCATATATTCATTTCAAGTTTTTCATGATAGGTTAGGGTCACCGCCTTGCAGTTAATGGCGTACATTTTGAACCTTTACTGTGATGAAAACCATTTTACTGCTAATTTCATTTCGTTTTCAAGGCTTAATAAGAAACGTACACGTTCATTTGTTTCATTTTGATGTAGGCTATCTACTTAGATTAATGTTATTGATGTAATTTTTTAAGTTTTTAATTTTTTTTATCAAATTCAATTGTTTTTCATTACTAGTTTGTTTGCTGATTTCTATTTTTTTGTATCTGTTTAAATAACAAAAAAATAAATTAAAAACCAAATCTGCAAATTTCGGGTTTTCTGGCATATCTTCGAAAGTAATCGGACTTTCCTGGTTTATACACTTTATTAGCGTTTTTGTCTTTAAACAACATCTACTTCAATTTCCCAAAATATTGCCCATTCCTCCTGGGACACCCTGTATCTTGCATATGTTTTCAGGGTATTTCTTTCCATAGAATCGAATTTCGACATTAAATTTGAGCTATACTCTCGTTTTCCAGTGAAAACCCAAATAAACTCAATTTTGCAACTTAAATTGTTAATAACAAAAAACAAGGACCAGGAATTCGGCCTGGTATCCTCGAAATTCGGAATCAGCGACTCACAAAACCATAAAACAAACCCATGATACTGAGGGCTGAAAACATACTCAAGTGCCTGCCACCAGCGCCCGGACATTAATAACTCCAAAATCAAACCTTCTGAATCTTGGATTGAAAATGAAACAAATGTTCATTTGATCCTTCCTACCACCTAATTTTTTGTAGACTTGTACATTACGCATAACATACTATCCTTTTTAGCACATTTCCACAAAAACAATGTCTACTATTGTCCACCCTACACCTGCGTCACTATCAGATCTCCATCTTAAGAGGTATTGACTTAATTTTCGTTATTTGGTTCGTTATAGCATCGAGGCGTGCACCAAAGAAGAAATTTTCCTCAATTTTAGCAACCATTTTGATTCAGAGAAGCCCAAAATCTTGATTGAATCAGTTAAGTCATATGATAGAAAAAACTGGCAGTAATTGTTAATACTTGGAGCCATTATTTATTATTTTTTTATTTTGCGTGGTGCGTTTTGAAGAAACATTGTGTCATATGGAGCTATTCAAGCGAGCGCAACCACCGATTTAGACGTGGCGCGCAGTGGTCAACTCCCGCTGAAACGCTCGACTGTGAACTGAAGACACCTTACTTGTTGGTTGGTGGTTTGTATGTGACGCGTAAGTCATAACAAAACTTGTGCTCAGTGTTCTCAGAGGTACTTACTTAACATATGTGTGCAGTGGCCACTGTGATAACTTCCAGGGCATGTTACGGAATTTTTTTTTGAGTTATTCTCTTACGTATATAATTTTAGTAGGTATTCTGTTTTCAATAAGATCATTCCACAAATAAGAACCACTAAAGATTTACAAAAACCGCCTTTCGATATTAACAGACTTTGTACGAAAAAAATTCGTTTTCAGCCATTTCATCAAAAAAATCCGTTAACAAATAAAAACATTGGATTGCGCAAATACAAAAGTTCGGTTGCGCATGCGCAATTTTGTTGCATCTGCATAGTCGCTTGAGGTCTAAGGAATATTTACTAACTAGAAAACCGGACATTCATATGTTCTTAGTAAGAAGAATTATAAACGAACCCTTTTTTTTTGGAAGTTTGGGCTGTAACTTCTTGAACCGATAGTCTATGTATCTGAAAAACAATAACGATATTTCTTATGCCCTTAAGAACATGTGTAGGTACCTATTTTCAATGCGATCTGATTGTTCTAAACAAAGTTATCGTGCACACAGATGGACGGACAGACAGCAATACAAAATTATGGTATACGAAAAACATTGATTTTTTACACTTTTTAGTAATAAACGTAAAAAAATTCCTTGCGTGGTGCAAACCTCGACGCCATAACGTACCAAATAGCGAAAAAAGTAAAACAATAGTTCGCAAGATAAAGATGTACTAGCGACACAGCCTTAGGGATGGACGGACAAAGTGGTTACAATAGCGCATTTGTTATTTTTTTGTGGAAATGCGCTAAAAAGGCGTAAGGTACTTGCCATTCAATTTTTGTATTCGATACAAATAGTTGATTTTGTTTATGCGCACACTCCACATTTCATGAGAAATAAATACTGACCTATCCCAACAATCGTAGCGAAAACAAAAATGGATAGAATAAAAAAAACACGTAGTGAAAATGATAGCATGGACTCACATAAAAAAATAAGAGTGGGAAAAGTACATTGAAAGAATGAATGATAGAATAGTGAAACAAGGCAGATAATAAATAAAGAGGATTCAGTCAAGAGGCAGAGGAATCGATAGAACAAATCAGTAAAAAAACAAAGAAAAAGAACATAAGGAAGATTTTTAGTATTAGTTTGTTTGTTGGTCTCCCTGAGATAGTTTCAAGCAGACAAAGTGTACAGTTGGAGAAAGCTGTGTGAAACCAATGATCAAGCCGAATCTCTTACTTATTTTAGGAGCTGCGTTTGTACCGCTATCGAATGCAGAAGTACTAGGTCCAACAGAGATGATATTGTTAAATGACATGAAAACACATGGTGGAAGAACGTCATAATGATATCGAGTTTAGGAGATATGAACAGAGGAGCCCAAGGAGATGACCACACTTACTAAATAGTAGAGATGCCCAAATATGCTCAGTTTCGCCATAATTTGGAGTGTTGTGGTACAATTATTGTATATCTAAATACATATATTTCGATATTCATTCACAATAAAAACGGCACATATTTACTATTTTAAAAAAATTAGCAATTGTTTTTATTAGCAATTCTTTACAGGATACATACATTTGAAACAGTACAACTCCGTTGTGGTCTTCCTCTCTTTTTTCCCACAGTAGTTGAAGATGGATCGGTTTGGTGATTAATAGAAGTGCCATTTGTTTGTGTAGTGGATGGTGTGGTAACCGGTACTAAATATATTAGAGGTGCTTATCACAATGCAGACATCAAAATATAATACTCACATGATGTTTGAAGAGTTCTTGGCGGTATACTTGGCAAATTTTTATTTGGGAAGCTGTTTTGTATAAGTTTCCGTTTAAGCGATTTCGATTTTACAAACATGGAGTTGTCAAAGTGCAGGATACATACTCTATATATTGAGGAGTGTAATGATGGAACTGTGTGTAATAAATGTTCACAATCGCATAATTTGGTCCATTGCTTGAATCTAAAAGAATATTTCGTATTACCTACTTCACAAATGGCCATGATTTGAATAATAGTGGTATTACTTACCTTGTAACTTCTCTTGGGAACCGAAAGAAGTTGTCATTAGGTGTCTGGGACACGTTAGTGCAGTATTTCACTGCGCAGACATTGGTGTATCTCTCTTGATTTTGATTTACTGTAGGTTCCATAATCAAGTATTTTAATAATTCAGAAATGAATCTAAAAAGAACTGAGCTTATCGTAGCTGAAGAAATTCAATAAAAAAAAAACTCTTTTTAGTGACTTATAGAGGCACAAGAAATGTTCACTTGTTTGTAGAACACAATAATATGCGCACAAGATCCGAACTAGAATTGTTTCATTATGTATCACTTTGAAAATGTGGTGTACAAACTTTCAGAATGCTTTGGAAATATTGAAAATCTCAGTGAAAACTCTCCATTTTATCATGGATGATAAGATTTTAATTTTTTGAGTTTGGCGATATTAGAAGAACGGAGATCATCCACTAAAATTACAAATCATGTAAGCCATCACAATATGTCTCCCAATTTCATTAGTGTTTTAAACAATAAATTGTTTAATATTCTTGCCCCCCGACATCCAACCAATTTAGTTGTAACTTTTCATATCAAATGTGCAAAAAAATATTTTAAAAATGCTATTTATTAATAACAAATGAGCATTTTTAATCAAAATTACATTTCCTAAACAAGATCAAGCAATTAGCAACTTCTTGACCTATTATTAATCAGTATGGTGTGTTGCCTACCCGCAGTTCAGTAATCTTCAACTAGTTTTTAATTATTCGGAAATCACAATATTTATTACAAAGTTGGTGGCCGATTGATATATTAATGTCTTAAAGAAAATATCAAACACCTTCAAATACAAATAACATTTTTTGCAATTGTTGACTGTCAGTTTTATCACTAGATGGCAGCACTAATATAACTTCCATTTGATGATTTAACGTATTCCATATTAATACCAAAGTTTGAAAGATAAAGGTTGATCCTTCTATAAGGTTAATATGATATGATGAATGAGTGTACTGAATCAATTTCAGAAGCTTGCTAATCCTACATTACTTCTTGTTACGAATTGTATGCAAGTTATACTCATCTGATCATATTCCACAGAAGGATCAACAATTAAAAATAAACAAAGCACAAATGTTTCCAGCTCTCTCGCCATCATGATTGTATTACTAGTTACAGATAATCTACCTACACCAATAGGGGAGGTAGGTACATGTCACCCTAGATATTAGCAGCAAGTTCATATAAAACAAATGGCACAATGATAAAACTAGACCAATCGCCATGTAGTGTGCTCTTTGTACAAACTCCTACCCTAATTCTTTAAACAATGCCCCACTTACAGACATTTGACGGGCATCAACGTTGTATGGATGTACAGTTGCTGTCGTCCTTGAGGAATTGCCCTGTTGTTGTGGCATACTTAAAGATGGTGAATCGTTACCGGATTGATTTGCAGAGGAATTGTTCAAAGCACCGCTTTGTCTAGAAAATGGACATTGATTAAATGGCGCGTTAAAGATTACTTACTGAATGGTTTTATATAAGTCTCTGATTTTCTGATGAATCGGATGAGAACGGACGTGCAAAAGTTCCAAAGCTCTTTGTTGCAATTCGTTTTTACGACCTGATTTGTTTCGTCCGGCAAAACCTAATAGCATTTGTAGTTCAGAGACACGAAAGGTGATTAGCATATTCTGTAACAGAAGAAGAATAATTATAGTATTTGTGAATAGTGAGTGATGAACTGATAGAGAATACAGACTGAATATAGATAGTGTGCGTTGCAAAGATGGAATCTTTTTTGTACATCTTTTAAGCTACATATGTGCAGTTTAATCTACTCTAGTGTAGAATTTTTCAAACAAATTGGAAAGAGTTACATTGTACAGGGTCAATTGGTTGGAGTAGGTCATATCAGTAAAATCGAATATCTTCAGAGAGCTGCAAGAACTTTTGAGTGTAGCAGAGTATATTTTAAAAGTCAAATTAGGACAATAACCAATTATAATATTTGAGTACGGCAAGGTAAACATGAGTACTTTCTGGTTAAAATGGCATGTGGCCATTTTCATACCGAAATTAGTGCATAAATGACACTCTTTGACAATTTGATTGATTGATGGGATAGTAACAGTACACACAGACACAATTTAATCTTACTCTTATTTACTATACAGACTGATTCAAATTTGAGGATCACCATGGGGATCTCGGAAACTGTAAGAGACAGGTAGGTAGTTTAAATTTGGCAAACTTGCGTATTTTGATGCTTAACAAAATGCAGTTTTGCAAAATCGTTTTTATTTTTTACAGAAGTTATTTAAAAAGATATTTCAAAATAAAATACACATTATTATGGCCACTTTTTTCCCTCTACAAGATGCTAGTTTTAAATATTGTCTGACGTTTCGTCTCCGGTTAACTCATCATCAACTTTGTTATGTCATTTTTACTTTTTGTATCATTTGATAGAGCATGTTTTTCTGATTTCCAAAATGTAAAAAGGAAAATGATGGAGGATGGAAAAATAGGGAAAAATTTAATTACAGAATCAACGAGTTATAGGGAGAGACAAGAAGTAGGGTAACGATAGGAGCGAAGAAGGCTGATGTGTTTTGGACAATAAACGGATTGAGACAGGGAAGCCCACTTAGCTCAACCCAATTAAATTTCTGCATAAGGGATATGGAGAAAATATTAAAACAGGGTCAAAGTGTATGAATCGTGATGGGAAGAAGGAAGACATGGTTCCTAGATGATACACTATTATTGGCTACAGACGAAAAACAGATGAAGGAAATGATGCGACTATTAGAGGTACTGAGAAAGAAAAGGAATGGATTAAATGTCGAAAAATCGTTCCCGTTAGCACCTTCTATGGGCGCTTTTTTCCGAATCCGAATCTGTTATCAGAATTTCCATAACACACTAGATGATGAACAGGCTACTACTTTCTTATTTTTGTATGAAGGACAAAAAAAGAAAATAATGATTTGTCAAACTCCATACTTTTACATAAATTTAGAATTTAAGAATAATTTCAACATAAAATGTTTTACATTTATTTCTGAACAAAACATCCCCGCGTAACTAGATCTTCCTGAATCAACATGATTATGATGACAATGTATTCAAATGAATTTCTTTTTTTGCACTCTCATTCTGTAAAAATCCAATATGGCATCCATAAGAAGTATTAGTATCCACTGAACTAAAAATATATTTCTATGGTAGTAACCTGTCAGTTCTACGTCTTGGGTCTTATGGAAGTTCTGATAACCGACTCAGATTCTCCGAAAAACAGTGACAAGTGGAGCACATGTGAACAAGATGGAGGAAATGTTGCACAATACTTCCTGAAAATGATTACGCAGCATTTTATGAGGAACAGTGGCACATTGGAAGAATTATATCAATAAATGATATAAGCTGTGATATAGAATCTTACCCCAAAGCAAGTGTACAGGGCCGATCAAAAAGAATACCACAACTTTGAAACTCTATATTTAATTAAAATAACAAAATACAATCATGGATTATAAACAAAAAATAAAATAAGTGTTTTTTCTGTAGGAAGTAAGTTCGCAGATGCTCAACAAGACACTTGAGCAAGGAGGAAGTGATGGAGAAAGTGGAAGTAAATGTAAAAAATTTCTTGCAGCAGCCCCTTGAAAACTTTTGATTTTGACATCCAAAAATGTAAAAATGATGCCGACTACAAACAGGCGGAAATAGACTAGCAAGTTTTCTCGTGCAAATTGTTGTCTGATAGCACCGTCAAGTGACAATCAGGCTTATGATGTATCAGATCTGTTACTAATAACCGCAATCCGTTACGTAACTCTAACGGAGTATCCTAACCTACTTTTAAACGGAGAACTAATTTTTTAGTGACATATCACTACTATAACTGCTTCCGATTAGGAAAGGACCAAAATTTTGTGTTTTGACAGCTTTAAATGTAGACAGAGAGGTAAGTATTCACTGTACAGAATGCTGGACAGAGAAAGCAGATCGCCCCAATGAGGTAATTCGTAATCCGTTAAACCTGGCGTTCCGTTACGGTAACAAGTCAACTGGCATTTGTTTGTCTTTATAAACTGACAGGTTGTAATTTTGTAAAAGTATAAGAGCCCCTTCTCACGAAGCGTTTTTGAAAAGCCACAGAGTGGCGCGGCGGAGTAGGAGCGCCAGTTTTGGGTTCATCCACATCTTCTATCTCGAGTAGAGAAAGGTTTTTCATCATACGTTATACAATAACCTTCGAGACTTTGACAAGTTTTATATGCATTTCCTCTGTGTCGATTTTGGAGATTTCCTTATCCATTTTCACAAGGAACATCTCGCAATAAACGTGTCACGTGGTGGCGCTTCTGAGAATCGTTTCACGCTACTATTTAGTGGCGCTGCCGAATCACGCCGTGTGAAAGGATCCTGCAACAAGCAGCGCGCGTCTGCGTAGAGAAAGTTTGCTACAAGTCGCGCAAACGCGCCACAGTGCCGCTTGGTGTGAAGGCGCCCTGCGTCCATATAAACTATAAAGCAATGTTTCGCTACCAGCGGTGCGACTCTGGAGCGCTTCAAAACTGCATCTCTATAACTACAACAAGGCCCTGGTCCCCAATTAACAATACCGTAAATGATTTGAAGAAAAGTTGCTGGCCATCTGACAAAAAAATCATTTAAGGGATTGAACATGAATTAATTCATGGAATAGTGCAATATTAAGTAATCCTTCCATTTATACAGCATGTTGCATCGACAGGGGGGACATAGGAAATCCCATGTAAATTTAAAGGTTAACTTTTGGCTTCCCTAAATATTTTAGAGGAAAAATCTATTTAGGTTATTTGAAGAGCATTAAAATCCGCATCTAAAAGAGTAACTTTCGATGTTTTTGATTAAACCCCTTAACGAGATACGAGTTACAGGGAACAATTGAGGTAAAGGCTGACTGTCAAATGAAGTTTGTTGACATCTCAAATTATTAATCTGAGGTTGAAACTTAGACCATATAGTACATGGACTGCTATTTGTAACTAAAATATGGTCAATGACATCGCCCTGGGTATGTGAGTTTAAGGGTAAACGCGAGGGTAAACGAGTCTGTCCGAAGTTGACCGATTAAACACGATTTGAGACTGTCAACCTATAAATTAACAAACGTCAATTAATTAATCGTCTAGATATGCCAAAAAAAGCAGGCCTATTCTTATTTGTGGACGTATAGCAGATAATCAAGAGTATTTAAAGCTTCCCGTACTACGCGTTACTATAAAAGCTACTCTTTACGTGATCCGAGTGGTGTTAACACAACTTTAGTTTACCCTGAGATTCACATACCCACAACTACAGTGCCCTCTATCCGTGACCACCCATTTTGTCTCGCATTTTGTATTGAAAGCATAGGGATAATAGCAGTCCATGTACTATATGGTCTAAGGGTTGAAATTTAATGCTTTATTTCTATTATTATGTATGAATTACAAGACTGAAGAGAAAGTATTGATGGTTAAATGGTATTATCGGGTATAATATCACTAGTAGTACAATTATTATCGGTGATAGCACGACTTAAAACTTTTCTGAAAATTGAACGAGTGCGCAGCACGAGTGAGTTCAATTTATTATTATGAAGAATCGCTGGAAAATATTTTCAAGTTCTAAAAATGACCACCAGAGGAGGTACTGCCATCTTAAATTTTAAAATTGCATTTTCTTTAAATTTCGCATAATAAACTAAACATTCTTTTTCACATTTTTAAAGAGAACCAATTTATCTATCATTTTCGTAAAACAAAAACTCTGTTATTTCAAAAACAAAGATGGCGTGCGTGGGGCGTTCAATTGTTTTTGCAATAACCTGCTTTAACTTCTTAACGGTTTGACCGATTGTAACAAATTTGGTGTCGTTGAAAAGAGCATTCCTTGGGCAACAAGAATCAAATACAGAGTGGCCCAACGAGAAGTATACAGAGGGCTTTTAGGGTATTAAATTTAGAAATTGCGAAAAATCCTCGAACACGTCAATTTTGTATTCGAGGGGGACAACTTTTGAAATACAAATCACGAACCCAAGTCTTCACCCCTCTACGTAGAGAGCTTAACCCCTAAAATTTTAAATGGAATCCTATGGCAAATGCCACATCATTTGAAAGCCAATTTAATCGTGATTACTAATCTGTTTTGCTTTTTAAATTCTAATGATTCGTTTCGGAGATATTCGCATTTGAAATGTTTTTTTCTAAAAAAAACAAAACAAATGCGATCTAAGTCACCTTGTATTAAGAAAGGTTTAAATTGTGCAAAAAATAACAAATAACATTTATTTCAATAAATGCTCGAATTGCCTCCCGCCTGCTTCCATGCAATAATAAAGATTTGCTTCAAAACGCTGCCATACATGTTGCAAGATTTCAGGGGTAATCGCTCGAAATTGTTGAGTTATACCATAGTGTATTCTATTCTTACACTATGGTTATACGTGCTCGCAACCCTTGTAATGTTCCGGGCGGAGTAGCATAAACTTTATTCTTTAAATATCCCCACAAGAAGTAATCTAAAGGACTTAAATCAGGGGAAAAAAACCATTTCAAATGCGAATATCTCCGAAACGAATCAATAGAATTTAAAAAGCAAACCAGATTAGTAATCACGATTAAATTGGCTTTCAAATAATGTGCCATTTGCCATAGGATTCCATTTAAAATTTTAGGGGTTAAGCTCCCTACGTAGAGGGGTGAAGACTTGGGTTCGTGATTTGTATTCCAAAAGTTGTCCCCCTCGAATACAAAATTGACGTGTTTGAGGATTTTTCGAAATTTCTAAATTTAATACCCTAAAAGCCCTCTGTATACTTCTCGTTGGGCCACTCTGTATATTTAATTTAGTTGAATCCTTCCCCCTAGTTTTGACACTAGGTATGATCCAAAATCCTAAAAAATCAAATGGAATGATATGACTTTTTCTTTATGAAAAAGAAGTAGCCAAATAACACCCAAAGAGGCCAGTGAACCCCATTTTTCAAAATCTCGTTCCTAACCTCAAATATTGGGAAAATGAGATTAATTAATTAATTAAAATGCTTAAATTGTATCTTATTTGAAGTACTTCCGGTATTTGTCGATGGCGCGAAAGATTGTTTGGAAAAGGACCCTACACAATGCATTATAAAATAATAACAGCCGTAATGTAAATTATTCTGCTGTGTTTACATTCAGAAAGTGCAGTTTTTGAATTTGGAATTCTTTTCTAAAATGCCGATTTCTAACCAAGAAGCATTTAATATGCTGGCGGCGATGGTTCGTGGTCGATTTGGATAACGCAAAAAGAAGATGTGGGCAGCGGTGGTCGCATTTAGAAAATACTCATATTAAATGCTTCTTGGTTAGAAATCGGCACTTTAGAAAAGATTACAAATTCAAAAAACTGCACTTTCTGAATGTAAACGCAGCAGAATAGTTTACAAATTACGGCTGTTATTATTTTATAAGGCATCATGTTTCATTTGTTTAATTTTCCCAGGCCTACCTAAAAGTGTAGGGTGCTTTCGCGCCATCGACAAATAGTACCGGAAGTACGTAAAAAGTAAATTTAAGACACAATTTAAGTATTTTTATTAATCAATTAATTAAACTGATTTGCCTAATATTTGAGGTTGGAATGAGATTTTGAAAAACGGTTTTCACTGGCCTCTTTGGGTGTTGTTTGGCTACGTTTTCATAAAGAAAATGTCATATCATTCCAATTGATTTTTTTAGGATTTTGGGTCATAGTGTCAAAACTATCCCTCTGGTGGAGAAGGATTCAACTAAATTAACTATATTATGGTTGATTCTCATTGCCTCGCTCATTGCCCAATGAATGCTCATTTCAACCATACTAAATTTGTTAAAATCGATCAAACTTTAAGAAGTTAAAGCAGGTTATTGCATAAACAATTGAACGCCCCACACCATCGTTGTTTTTGAAATAACTGAGTTTTTCTTTTTACGAAAATTATAGATAAACTGGTTTTCATTAAAAATGCGAAAAATTTTTTTTTGTTTATTATGCGAAATTGAAAGAAAATGCAATTTTAAAATTTAAGATGGCAGTTACGCCCTCTGTTGGTCATTTTTAGAACTTGAAAATATTTTCCAGCGATTCTTTCATGACCGATTTACCCAATAATTTTTTTTACCCCTAAGTCATATGACGAACGGTTTTCGAGATATGACCGAGGAACAGTCTTATTGGGTCACCCGGTACGTACTATTGCCCATCTCTCGGTCGCTTATTGTATGCGCATTTTAATAACCCAATTTCTTCAATGGCTTTATTTACCATAGAGCTTGAGATTTTTTTAGTCACAAAATGAATGAGTGAATTGCTTCCACTGCAATTGCTGATTTATAATTGTTTTTCGGTGTTTTTTTACCATTAACTCGCGTATGTCACTCACTGTGGAGTGTTCCCATCGATTGGACATCTTATTTTCAGCTACTACGTAAACCGAGACGTAAACACTCTATACTTCCACTTAAACGGCAAAATGCCAAACGTAGAAAAGAGACAAACGTCAGATTTTGACAAATGACAAAAACAAGCAGGCAGTAGCGGCAATAATTTTATTATCGCTGTGATAAAAGGCTGACTGGTCATTTGTTTTATAGACTTCACCAATTGTGTAGAAGAATAGAGTCATGTGATTAATGCATTATATTCTCAAGGAAATAGGCCAAGTATCAGACATGTATGTATGTATCAGGCCGATACCCACGCAATCAACAGTTGATAGAATTATCAAAAAGATGCGGATTTTAATGCTCTTCAAATAACCTAAATAGGTTTTTCCTTTAATATACTTAGGGAAGTTAATAATTAAACTCTTTTAAATTTACATGGGATTTCCTATGGGACGCCTGTCGATGCAACATGCTGTATACCACATTTAAGTAGTTATACAGCGTGCTGCATCGACAGGCGGGACATAAGAAATCCCATGTAAATTTAAAGGAGGTTCATTATTGGCTTCCCTAATTATTTTAAAGGGACAATGTGTTTAGGTTATTTGAAGAGCATTAAAATCCGCATTTTGTGTTGAGAGTATAACCCCCAATCCATCATTCAACATCCAAATCCATTTGTAAGTGACGTTATCAGATTTAACCAGTTAACGTCACTTACAAATATCTTTGGATTTTGAATGATGGATTGGGGGTTATAATCTCAACACAAAATGCATAAACTATTAACTCTGTACCCCAGTTAATCGCATAACTTCCATGATTTTCGTTCCGTTCCCAACCGTCCGTTATTTTACCGATAACTGCACAACGTGTACGGACCCGTTAAGATAACCATGCTTACAATCTGATACCTACATCATACAAAATCTCACTTACTAACGGAATGCGGTTATTTTGTTTCATAACATAACTGTTCATAACCGATTTGATACATTATAAGATTGATTGTCAGTCAATCTTGAAAATTCAGAACCGATCTGAATTTGTGACAAAACTCTCCCAGGAGATCTCGTATACCTTTCCGACTAGCACGTTTTATTGTCGCAACTTGCTTGCGCAATAAATGTGGCATGTTAAATTACGGTGGTTTGATACCTGGACAGTGCTGTCAGATAGCAATTCGCGGGAGAAAACTGCTGGTTCATTCCCACCTTAAGCTTCATATTAATCTTGACATTATATTCTCATACCTTCCATACAATCAAATACTATTTTAGTAAATATGTGAACCACCTAAGTGAATATCATTCTGCTCATTTATGTCTATATTATGGATAACCGAAAATAAACAAGCGAGGAATCACAACATCCAATCCTGTTATTACAAGGGCACAAACAATTGAAATGAATTCATTGCTACTTAAATATGATGAAACTCCCTACACATATCAGATCTACTTTTTCAAAAACTTACAGGAAGATCTTATCTGAACACACTCATCATTAATCTGAGATTACTGTCAGAATAATACATTTTAGAAGTATGAAAGAATCTTACCTAAATTGTTCACCATTTTGTTGAACACCAAAACAACAAGCTTGCAAGAATCAGTCGACACGTATCCGTAGAACCTTAACGACTGAATATTTACGTAAACAATTTCAAGGTTTTGCTAGGTTATGTTCAAACGGGGAAAGGAAAAATTAAGCTTCACTTACCCGCAAATCATCTATATTATCGGACATCGCCGACTGTGTTTCCAATGCTTCCAAATAAAACCTTCTCTTAATGCATTCATTTAAACTGAGTTGGGTACCTTCCTTTTTAACGTACTACGGTAGTTCTTTCGAGGGAAAATGTTTAACGCCGCCAGTTCCCAATTCCAAAAGGACAACAGAACGTCGGGATGGAGAAGCTTCAATCAGTTTAATTTTGTGTACTTTTGACTTCCAAGTAGAGGAATCGCGCGAGTGTCTGTAACTTACTGATTTGAATTTTGAAAAGTTAAATGCACTTCAAATTAATAAATAGCGCAAAAGTTGATTTTTTTTCTGTATAAAAAGAACTGCGGCGAGCGGAGGGTAAAAGGAGGAAGTTCGCCGTTTTTAGCTGAGAAAACTTCGATTCTACCAACATAACATAACATATTATTATGGTAATTTGATTTATACCAACATAATTAAATTGAATTTTGTAGCAGACAAGTAATTGGAACCAATATGAAATGCTTATACCATTGCTTACACAATAAACAAAGCTTATAGGTTCCGGTTTCGCACTTAGGTAGAATTATTATATTACCTTACTAACAATACACATGCGGGTGGCAAAAAAAGATCAAACGCATGGAATAGATGGGTATAATAGGCAACCAAGTCTACACTAATTTCTTTGAAATGATAATAATCATCGTCTGCTAATGAAACAGAAATTATCGGCGCGGTGACCAAATTTTGGTCTCTCGCTAGTTTCAGTTGCCCGGCCATTTTAGAATTTTGGGGAACTGATGGGCTATTGGTTCATTGGAACTCTACACGAGGAGATTTTTCATTAGCCCGCCACTGCATGGCTGAAAAAGTATTGCCATTGAATATGGTCATTGAATTATTGCAAAAGGAAAGTTTAGAACTCAACCAGTGACTGTACATACTTTTCATTGAATTCAACCAAAGCATTTTTAACCTCACTTTTTGTTTGGTTTGTTTATGGTAAAATTAAAAAAAATTAAAACTGAATTATAGAAATTTGAGGTATATCTGAGTGTGTATGCATTCTGAAATGAGGCATATGTGAAAAGAGGGCAGTTGGAGTTTATCATCGTTGACGGTTTCGGAACATCTTCACAATGATTCACGAAGCACTGTTTTATTTGTGGAATTGCCCTGGTGATCTTTTCAAAACTAATAAGAAAGATGTAAGTTCGTTTTTTGATATTTTAATCTTATCTATCAAGTACGATTGACCAGCGTTAGTTTAGATGTGTAAGTTGTTACTCGACCCATGGCCTAATAAGAGTATGGTCTGCTATTCCCGTGAACGACATCTCGCACAAGTCGCGCATGACGTCACGCGGTTGTGTACACTGAAATATTGTACACGCGCATTTGAATAAATATGTGCTAATATTTCGATATTCCATTGCATATGTGATAAATACGATTATATAGCTATATTACTTTATTACAATGGTCCATTGTGTGATGTCTGGTTGCAATAATAACAATAGAAAAACTAAATACAAGTTAGTATAGATTTCCAAAACATGTCGCTTTTCAGCGGGGTATAATTGTATCAGCATCGACGGCATCTGATTGATGGCTACACCTTCACTCAACGATCTCACCGATCGTTAATAGATTTGTATGACGACCTAATAAATAGGTAGATAGGTACGATACGGAATATGTTTTGACACCAAGATTTGTTGGTAAATATACCTTCCAAGGGGCCGGCGAATGCTCTGTGCTCAGCCATTAGAAAACTTGACGGAATTTAAAATACTTGTTTAACACGGGCCAACATTGCAAGAAGGTATTGCTGAAATACCTACCTTCATTTTGCTCAAGAAACAACGAACGTTCATAAAGAAGGTTCGCTTTATATGACTGCTTACGTTGCATACAAATTAAAAACATACCGATTCTTAGGCGAAATCGCCGAATTTGAAATAGGCGATAATTGGATTATTTTATATCTGAACGGGATTTAAAAAAGCCAACAAATTATTTTGCTGTTATTGAAAAGTAATAAACTTAATGCATCATGTGATAAGACATTGATACCTAACGACGCTTTCGACCACTTAGTTAAAGCAAAGAGCATATAATATAACGATACTTTTTGAACTTTGGAGCAAGGACGTATATAAGAATTCGGAAACGAAATAAAAAAAATGAGAAACTGCGGCACTGCTGCAGAAAGACGAACAGTTAGTAACCAATGAAAAACCTCATGTTTTAAACAGTCTGAATTGATTTATTGTACATATTTTACATTAAAACCTAATGATTTTTTACTTTGTTTTTGTAATACAACACAGTTTGTTACGTATATATATGCCGATAAGCTCTAATTAGGTGTAAGCACTTTATGAATGAAAACTTTTCACCGTAATTGTTAGGCTTTCTTACTTATTCTTATGGGAGTCTTGCAGGCACCAGTTCGTTTCACAACCGCGTGACGTCACATCAACACCAGCCGACTAATGCACTATGCGCAATAGCAGACCATACTCTTATTAGGCCATGACTCGACCTATGTGTTGGTTTTTGTAGTTGATGTTAAACTAGTAGGTATTGCTTTAGTCTTTACATACCTAGTAAGATGATAAATGAGTCGGTACTTGTGTACCACATGTGAAAGTATGATAGCTGGGTAATTTTGTGTCGGTTGTGTGATGACTGTTTACTATATGTTGGTAGACTACATTTTACAGTTAAGTGTTTTAGGATTGGATTAATTCTGTAAGTATACAAGATTTTCTACATCCTGCTGAAAGAGAGTTATTACAAAGAATTATGACGATTGCTTTAAATTACCACGAAATTGAAGACTTCAGGAAAACAGTAGAAAATCAACATATTTTTGCATACGACAACCATATCACTGGTAATTATTTATCCTACAGTAAGTAGCTGTTCACAGAGTGCTTAAACTATTTCAGATGATAATGTAAGTAATGAAATCAAGCCTGGACTGTACGTTAAAGCATTTTGCAACGGTGTTGATACTGTCCTGGAAAGTTATCGCAATGAGATTGTAAACTTGGAGGATGTGATTTTAAAAAATCCACAATTGTCACTGACGTTTGTGCTTAGCTCAGTCGAAAAGTATGTTACGCTTTTTAAAACACTGAAACAAATGATTCAGTTAATAAAAAGCGAAAAAATTCACGGTTGTCCATTGATTGGGAAGTTACAATCGTATATTGATAGCGGCATTGATGCCATTACGGAACCTACACTGAAGTAAGTTTTTTTTTATTTAATGAAAAGATGGACCAAAATGTTTTAGAATAATCCTATCTGTCAACACTGTTTTTTATAAGCACTTGTGCAACTGGATTGTTTATGGAGATCTAATTGATAATTGCAATGAATTTTTTATATGCGATGCCAATTGTGCAGATGAAAATTTTCTCTATCCCGACCAATTGAAAGAAAGTGATGGTTTGAAGAAAGACAGCTACTTTGATATAGATTTCTCAGTAAGTACCACTCCTATGGAGTAACACCTTTAGTCACATGCACTTAAGCATAGGTGGGCATTAACTCGTTAATTCGTTAATTAACACAGCTAACGAGTTACTTAACTGATTAACTTCGAGGCTAACTTCTAAAAATGTTAATGCTTCTGTTAACTTCCGTTAAATTGAACTTCTGTTAATTCAGTCCGTTACATTGGTTACTTGTTGATGTATTCTTATTTATAAAAATAATTCTTCAAAATGCGAAAAATTCTGTGCTTCTAATAAGTAATTGTGACAAAAAAATATGTTTCAGAAAAAACATAAAGTGAAGAGACCATGCGAAGTGCGTAAATTTTATTTAAAAAAAGACATGGTTCCGATAAATATATCTATGGAAACTGCGGAAACAATTCTATTTCTTGGTCAGATAGTGTGGATAATACGGAATGATCCAAAAACGTATTTTGATGATAAATTCCAACTAAAGTTTAAAAGAGACATGTGGGACGGCACAGATGTAGAATACTACAGAAAATTACAGTCACTCGAAAATGTTCCGTTTAATTCGAACGTATTCGATAAGACTATCGAAGAATGCAGACTAAAACTAACCAAAGTAAGAAATTATTAATGTTCTCTTCAATGATTTTTTTTTCTTTACTAGTACTTGTGGAAAATAATGATTGACGAAGCAAAATTATTGGATCATCTACAATTAATAAGAGATTACTATGCACTAGGAAGAGGAGAACTATTCCAACAGTTTATTGTTCTAGCTGAAGATCATATAAAGGATATTACAAATGAGCATATCTTAACAAATTTGAATTTTATTTTCTCTGAGACTGCTAGGAAATTGTACACTGAGAATGACAAATCATATTTGTCTTTCGAATTAACATTGCCAAAACCCCTTGTAAAGTCCAATAGTAAGTATACTCATAGTTTAAATGGCATTAGTGCTTGGATTTAAATTTTGCAATCTTGTAAATATTATTACACAACTAAATTCGATTTTTGAGTAACTCACAGTTTGTAGATTCGAGTCCTTGGAGTCGCCTTGAAATCAATTTTAATGTCAGCTGGCCATTACACATATTATTCCATCCAACAGCTATGGGTTTTTACAACAAACTTTTTTGCTTTCTTTTAAAAGTGAAGAAAACCCATATTGATCTGCATAAAATATGGCTGTTCCATATGGAAGGAAAACATAAAATGTGTGTAAGAGTACTAGGTTATCATAAAGTAAGAAATATATTTCAGATTATTATTATTTTTTTTTTTTTATTGCCTTTATTTTATAGTGGGTGGAGTGTTAGCAATTTGCTACTCGAAGCATATGTATTTTTAACAAACTAAGTTAACAGAAGTGAATTGAAATCGATTTCTTAAGTAATGAGAATTCTTATGTCCACCAGTGGTTAACAGTGGTAAATGTTCGATGTCATTCATTTTGCTGATGTACGATTATCAACAGTATCAGTAGTTGACACAACAACTCTTTTGTTTTCCATAGATACAGTAAAATCCAATTTTTAAGGCAACTAGATTCCATTTATTTTTTGCTACTAGCTTAATTTCTTAAAGTTATATAAGACTTTAAAGTACTTATACCCCTTATTTTATGATGACCCCATATATTAATAAACGTGTAAACAAATATAGAAAACGAGCTCCTGGGATGGCTATAGCATGTGCAAAAGCAAATTTGGAACCAGGGGCCTATTTCAATTTTGCAACTTTTTACTTTACAGTGTCATAATTTTACAGTGTAAAGATTATTATCTATTTCCTAAAATATTTTAGTCAAGGTAGCATTTCGTTTGTTATTCATCTTTACATATTTTGAGTGTTATCACGTGTCAAAATAGTCTTTATGGACCCAAATATTATCAGAAAAATGCAAAGTGACAAGTGAAAAGTTGTAAAGTTGCTTTATGAAATGGTGTTAGATTTGCATTTATTCCAAGTGGTTATGTATCAAATTTCATTTAAATCCCTCCATAATTAAGAAAGTTGGCACTGCGCATGCGCAAAACGAAATTTTGAAACTGGTCAGGATTCGAAAAGGGCACTGTGAATGTGGATCGATTAGGCTCAACTTTTGGCATTGCATATTATATGCCTAAAGCTATGCCCGTATTGAATTTCATGCAATTCGGTTCATAAGTAACGGAGATGTCAAAAGGGCCTTCTTCATTTTTTTGGGCTACATTGCCAATTCACGAACTCAATATCTACAAATTTGATAAAGAATCCACCAGCAAAATTTCATCGCAATCGGTCCATTCGTTTTCGAGACATCATGCTAAAGGACAGACATCGCAAAATTATAAACTCGCTAGGAGCTCGTTAATAATGAGCACGGAAAATGATATAAGCTCTTAACAGTTATACACGCTATTTATTCCACGACTCTCACTAAAAGGCCAAGTGGTAGGTATACATATTATGCATTATTTCCGCCTACTAACGAAGATAGTGGGTTGTAGGAAAATAGTACATTATATATCAAGGTAGAGAAGTCCACTATTATTGCCTGAGCACCAAGATTACATCTCGAGGCGCTTGCGCCGAGGGGTGTAAGGTGCGAAGGCAATAATAGACTTCTCTACCGTGGTATATATACTATTTTTTTCACTTGAAATCCTCTAAATTAACATATTTTTTTTTGTTTATTAATTTAACATGTCGATCAAGTACGTGGAAGTACAAGTCAAACAGGCCGTATTTTGTTCTGTCATTGAGATTTTTCAAAGAGTAATTTCGTTCGAATTTTTCAAAATGTGATAATTTTAGGTATGTAATTTCTCTGGAAATTGCGAATGGTGGCAATTATTCGTTTTAGAGAACTTGTCTAAACGTTCATTGAGCGAAATTTCGGGTTGTGTTTTCTAAAAGTGACAGCGTAACAGTTCTCATTATTGACTACTAGTTAATAATAAAAAATTATTAACCACTTTGAACAAATGCCGAGAAAACCTACTTTACAAGTGGAAAAAAGGTTAATAATCATGTCATCAGACGCTAGTAGTGAAAAAAATAATATTCAACTTATATGTAAGTTGCAGTATAAAAAAAATTCCTACACTAGCGTTCAAAAATGAATAAAAAAATACTATGTTGTCAAATCAATCACCCTATATAATTTATGCAGAATATTTTTTGAGGCATTTTGAAAGATACGAAGATTTAAAAGTTCTCTTCTAATTTTTTATTTATAAATTTGATAATGTAAATTTTACCATTTCAGAGATCCAGCAGTGTGGACACTACGTAACAATTTAATGTACATTGTAAATAACCTACAGTATTACCTACAAGTGGATGTAATCGAGGCGCGCTTTGCAATTTTGAAGTCGGCTATACAGGATGCTAACGAATTTGAAGATATTATTCGTCTACATTCAGAATTTTTAAAGAATCTACTACATGAGACTTTTGTAATGACAGCATATAAAGTAATATACAAACTAATAGAGTTAATTTGCTAACCATACCTTTTTTAGGATTCTGAACTGAAATGCAAGCATACATTATATCAAGTACCAGCACTTAAACAGGAAAAAAATAGCATGGTAATGTAAAAGGTTTTTCAATAGTAGCAAGCGCATTTTAAAACATCTCTAAGGGTAGAAACATAGTGGAGAAAGTCATCTTGTCATTCACTGCGCCACGCATCACACGGTTCATCACGAAGCGAGTTTCAAGCAACTGCATTTTGAAAAACAATTGATTTTGTTGTGGGAAGAGCATTGAGATGCACGGTGAGGTGCTTGGCGAGATACACGGATTTGCTATGGTCGACGTTATTTACTTTCCCGTATTTGTTTTTATGGTAAATTGAATGGCGACATGCTGCACTATGTCTCTACCCTAAAGGTCCAGCGCATCCTTCCATGTTTGTGTAACGTCCTGTGTATCTCTTATGGTTTCCTATTTCCTTATGCTGTTCATTCTTATCTTGAACACACTAGTAGAAGTCAATTTGCCATCCCCTCCACTTTTATATGACGTCACAGGTGCTGCGCTGTGATTGGCAGTGCCATTTTGTGGCGGTAAATTTGAATTTGTGAGGGAGATTTGAATTTCTGGATGTCTGCCATTTTGGGGCGGTAAATTTGAATTTGTGTGCGAGATTTGAATTGTTCACAAAATGGCGGACATCCGGAAATTCAAATCTCCCTCACAAATTCAAATTTACCGCCACAAAATGTGGAGGAGATGGCAGTATATTCGCACAACTTTGACTTCAAAATTTTCAGTAGAGAAAAGTGGAGCTCGGATTTTATATTTTGATTGATTGCATTGAAAAACATCTTGAAACAATTACACTGTTTATGTTTTTTTAGGTGTATGAAACAATATTGCAAATCCTGAGTGTTTGTGACAAGTTCTGTTCTCTAGTGAAAAACTGGCAAAGTGATCTTACAGAAGTGGATCTACAAAAACTGTCAAAATTAAAAACTGAAAGTGAGAGTTTGATAGAAATGTTGTTGCATGTGTTGTATTCATTGCATCAAAAATCATCCGGTCAACATTTATTACAATTACTCCATCACATTGATTACAATCGTTGGTTCTCCAAAAATATTGTAAATTTAAATTTAACTGTTTCTTAATAAATATGTCTCTCTTTACCATGCGATAATACATAGCCAACCTAGTTTCTGATTGAAAACACCACAGTAAGGCAATATACAGGGTGAATGAAATAAACGACTAAATTCCTCAAAACCTTCCCCATGGATATTTTGAGGAATTGAGTCGTTTATTTCATTCATGGTTCATCACCCCCATTTTGAGCATGGATCAACCACAACCACGAGTTTTTTCTGAATATACAGGGTGGCAATTTGAAAACTTACCATCCCCCATGTCTTAGTGAATAACTGAGATATTTTAAAAAATCAAAATCCGTTTCGGTAATTCGGAGGGGAATCACAATGACATAGTTGGCGACGCACCCCATCCAACCCCCTGCACCCCAACTTTTAAATCTTAAATAGTGACCCCCCCATGTGTGATACGCCGTTGAAAAGCTCTGAAAAAATGCTTTCCAACCATACCAAATAGCATTACATTTAGGTTAGTAATTATCGTGCAAATCAAAAAATAAACTAATATGATACATTTGAAATCTGTCGTATTTAAAACGCAACCGGCGAACATAGACAGAGAATAATTCAAGAATGTCGAAATATTGCAAATGCAACATTTGAAAAGGTTCGACAAGAGTTTGAGAATAGATTATACTACTGTCTTACCAATAACAGAAACGATTTTGAACATTTATTGAAATAAAATCCAACTTTAGAAAGTGTATCATATTAGTTTATTTTTTGATTTGCACAATAATTACTAACCTAAATGTAATGCTATTTGGTATGGTTGGAAAGTATTCAGAGCTTTCCAACGACGTATCACACATGCGGGTACCTATTTAAGATTTAAAAGTTGGGGTGGCTGGGGCGCAGGGTGTGCGTCGCCAACTATGTCATTGTGATTCCCCCTCCGAATTACCGAAACGGATTTTGATTTTTTAAAATATCTCGTTTATTTACTAAGACATGGGGGGTGGTAAGTTTTCAAATTGCCACCCTGTATATTTCCTTGTACATCTTGTTGAAGGAGTGTCTTCAGGATCTATCCTACTGAGATACAGTGAAAAAAGTACCATGCTCATCTGATAGAACACAGAGGAAGTTGTTAATTCTGAATGTACACCTAATCAGCTGCTAAAAAGGGGGGATTAAACCACACGTTCTACCCTTCATGGTATTCTAATGAAAGGTCTCATCGAAATTAATTGATTTGTACAAAGTCTAACTTTCCTGCCTCTCTTATTCAAGATCAGAGGGCGACAAGGGGAAGGGGGGGGGGTAAAAATGGATTTTATCATTCATGGTATTCTAATTACCACCCTTTTACAAGATCCCTTATCCAAAAAAGGAGGGGGGGGGCTGGTTTTCTCGCTCATGGTACTCTAATGTAAGGTCTCAACGAAAGGAATAATTTTCTGCCAATCATAGTGCTCCTCAACCCCTTATCGTGATCGGATATAATTTCTTATATTTCAAAAACTGATTGTCGCAGGAGTGTATTCACAAAGGGGTATTTCCTAAAGGCAAGTGGAACGTCAGGACGAGATATATCTACTGGTGATGTTAAAACTTTCAGTGCAAATATTTGCAGAAGAATTTAGCGCAACAAGAACATACGCTTTAAGGTTAATTCTTTATTATGGTCACTCTTTTTATTTTGTTAAGCCTAAACCGTACCTGTTTGTGTACAGTGTAGAAAGAAAGTTAATGTATACTATAAGTATAACATACATTTGTATACATGTTCCAAAAGCTTTCACAGAAAGATTTCGTTCCATGTTTCTGGTTGAACTCTATGATTTAGCTAGATTTTCGTACCTGACCTGCAGTGTAGGCATCAGCCACATTAAAAAACAAATGAATAAATATTTTTTTGCTTGACAATTAAATGGTACACCTATATGCTTTAAAATAAAAGGTTCAAACAGGTAACAAAAATTGTATTTCAAAATCAATCGCCCTCTCTCACTTCTCCAAATACAAAAACATCACCAAACTAGGCACTAGGTATATCAACAAGAACAGAACGTCATCACCCTACAGAGAAATAATACGACAAGAACAAAAACTGATTCAGTGTTATACATTAAAATAGTTTTTTAAATACCTATTTTTTAATCCAAACATGACTCAATATTTTTTTTTCATAACTTTCATAAATAATACCATATCTGAAAAGCAAAAATTGATTAGTTCAGTATATTATTTATTTAGTATACTTACTTATAAATACGACTAATACAACAAGTAACATTATCCACATCCAACACTTCCAAGCCCTCTTAGAATGTTCAGTTAATTTATTTGATTCACTTTTTAATTTAGTGAAGTTATCCTCGGTTAATTGTGATGATCTACCAACGACCTGCATAGGAAGGTTTTTAACCACGGAATAACAATGTCAGAACTTACCTCCGTGTCTTTTTTGATTATTTTATTAGCAAGCTCCGATTGTTCTTTTAAATTTTTGGTCAGAGTTAGCATTTCGTCAGCGATCTTTGCCTGCATATCTTGGTGATAATCTATTATGTCATCTAAATCATTTGTAGAACTTGTTTTTTTGGCTGGTTCTCGTTTTCTTAATCCTAAAATGTGTGTATCCCATATATTATGTAACAATGAAATAACAGTAGAAATGTAAAACTGTCGCCGACAACAATACTTATTACTGTATCTACATCTGCTAACCATTTTTACCTAATAATTCATCACGAGGTGATAACTTGGAGCCTTCTGTGCCATCTATCAACTTCCCGACAAATGTATCTTCTGGTAACAAACCTAAGGCTATTTTCAAATTTAATATTCTCTCATAATATTCACGTACACTTCCGTCGCCTTTACTACAAATTAAAAAAATTTGATTGTGTAATTTGATGTGAAGTCAATTTTGCTTACCTTGATACAGTGCCCTGTAATGTTTTCCACATTTCCTCCAATGATTGGATATACTGGGGAAACCTTTCATCCTTCTTCTGTTTGCTTTTAACCATAAGTTCGCATTTATTTAATAGTCGCCGTAAATTTATCTCGTTTCTAGATAGGGCCATCTTGGGATATCATACATAGCTACGTAAATGCTGAAATTTAAAAAAATGTAATTTAGGTCTCCACATTCCAGTAATCCGGCATTTGGGTGCCGAATTACCAAGCACCTACTGTATTTATATTAAATATTATTTGGAATATTCCATTTTACACATTGCCATGCACTGACAAATTTAAGCGGGGCTTAACTTAAGCTTAGCTTAAAATCCATGGCAACGATTATTGAGACAATGGTGACCATGGATTTTAAGCCACGCTTAAGTTAAGCTCTGCTTAAATTTGTTGGTGCAAACGGTCATAAAATAGGTTTCCATGGCGAACAAAAGATGGAAGGATTGTTTAAAATGGCAATTTCTTAGTCACTTATCTGGAACCTTTTATTAGTTCCAAACATTTTTAATTTAAAATAGCCCACTAACAACAAACATGAAAACTTATGTGAATAAAACAAATCGGTAACTAATAAGTATTATAAAAATGTAGTTTAAAGCTGTCTATCGCGATGGATTTTACATAAAAAGTGCTCTAAGAAAGATAATGCCAAAATCAATTATCTGCAATAACAAGAAATTTATGGGGCATTAAAGAAACGTACTAAATTCTAGACACTCCCCATAGCGGCCAAACGATTAGAGATGGCTGAATTCTGTTTGTGACAGTGACTTTCTCTTTAAAATTGAGCTCCAGACACCTAGGTTCATTTTTTTCTCTAAAATAAAGACCGTTTCCATAAGAAAGTTTTTAATTTGGACCGACCTGTACACACAACCAGATCTCATTTTTTTAAAGCATTCTTTTTTATAAAACATGTAAGTACCTACAGGGTGTCCCATTTTTGACACCTTCTCCGTAATTGTTAATGCTATAAAAAACAGTAATATAGGCGTCATGTGCTCTTTATTCAAACTTAAAATAGTAAAATGAAAATATTCGGTTGCTTAAGAGATACAGGGGAAAATAAAAAATGAGTGAAAAAGAAAAGTTTGACTGTGCAAATTGTTTATGTGTTTTAAGTCGGATCGGATTGCACCTGCGCAAAACAATTGTTTTGATTCAGCATTACTTTTACTTGTATTCGAGGTGCCTAGATACAAAATTTCATTTAAGTACCTATTTTAACCTCAATTTTAACAAATGAAAAAATTGAATTGTGCAAATACAAAAGTTATCGTGCACAACTGCACACGGACAGACAGACCGACAGCAATACAAAATTATAAACGATCTCGAGGATGGTTAATAAATGGCAAAAGTGTAAAATTATGGTATGTGGAACAATTTTTTTTTACCATAACTTTTTCGTAAGCGGCACAGAAAAAATTCCTTCCTTGGTGCAAGCCTCGACACCATAACGAACCAAATAGCGAAAAAAGTAGAACAATAGCGACCCAATGGCTGTAGGGACGAACAAAGTGGTCACAATAGCGCATTTTTTTAAAATTTATGTGGAAATGCGTTAAAAAGGTAAAAACTGTCCATTTTAGATATTTTTATGTGGAATCTAGTGGTGTGGTAAAAAAATGTTTGAACCATTATTTCTGACCCGAGTTGACCCAAAGTTGGTATTTGTTAAATGTAAGTTTTTGCTGATTACATTGATGTACACGAGAATGTACATAATATACATATTTTTTAATTTGAGCCATGAAAATCAATAAAAACTTTATTTCTTACTGTTTTGAAGTAGTAAGCCATCGATTCATGGAGATTTTGTTTTGTTTATTGTATCCATGCTAACTACCAATCAATAAAATGGGTAACGGTAGAAAAATGTCATTTCAAAATTTTGAAAAATATTTATAATATATAATTATATAAAAAAATCTAAAAAAAATATACTTTGTGACATTTTTTGAAAACGCCACTGAATTCTACGTAAAAATATCTTAAAAAAAGAATTTTTACCTTTTTGCTACTCTACATATAGGTACTTGACCAAAAAGGCAAACTTTTTGTTTTCGCCCTTTAATCTCAGAAATAAACGTAGCTAGATAAAAAAGTGGCAATCCACGGTACATCATTATTTTGCAACCCACTGACCAGCTCCGTCTCCACAAATCTAGCTGACTGACTTGACTATCATAACTTTCATTCATATACAATATTTGTATAACAATTTCCAGCCTTAGTAAATTCATTGAATATTGGCTATTGGCGTCCACACCTCTGGAATAATCCACATGATCTAAGTGGGTCTGGCAGAGGTTTTAATAAAAAAAATGGACCTCTAGCAAGTAGCAACTCCATCTTCTCTCGGAATCATTTACAATGTTGATTTGACCAAACATGCTTTTTTCAGTATTGCTGAATTTGAAAACAATATTTTAAACATAGATAAAGCATGTTGATTCTTATTATAACTTCATTTTTGTAAAACTGTGATGGTGATGATACTGCACCAATAAACATATTATTAATATAGAATGCCGTTTCTTGAACAAAAAAGTCTCTCAATGCATTATGGCTAATTCCGGATGTTGGCATCAAGAACCCACAATGCGAAACAGGAGCGCATGAGATCTGGCTTCAGGCTGTAGGTGACGAAATGTACCCACAATGCGTTTTGGTCATTCATTGGAAAACTAAGATGTTCTGGGTAAACTGCAGTGCGTACGAACACATGGTTATTAATTTCAGTCTTCAGATATTGACAATAACATAGAGGCATATACCTACTGGAGCTATGAATAGGTACTTTCATACAGTAGGCATCTAAAACTCTGTGGCATCCCGAAAACATCAATCAAAGTTGCTTTTGTTAAACAGACGCAACTCAGAAATAGGTGTTAAGTACTGAACTTTAAGTAAGAAATTCTAGTCCAATGTTATTCGCACATTATCATGTTCTACGATTACAAACTACTGCTAATCACATCAGCCATCGAACAAGCAGTGTAGTTGTACAGAAATTGGTAATACGTGCAAAATGCACTGACGTACAAAACCATGCAGAGGTCTTTAATTGCAGCGAAGGGTCATTCACAAGACTAGCCCATGACCTACAAACGAAACCAACGAATTGTCAAGTAGACCCACAACTAATATTGAATCTAAGATTAATCTTTCAATAGTTGGCGTTGTAATTTTAAAAATGTTTTAAGAAATTGGTACCCTACACAAAACAACAAATCAAAAGGCACATCACCACATAATTATCATACGAGTATGATTGTGACATAACCTCAAAACTTAAAAGTACCTACAAAAATGTGTTTCTGGTTAAAGAGAATTAAATGATCTTACCTGTTTTAAGTTTATAATTACTACAACTGCACGAAACTAAAGAATCTGTGATATAGTTTTGTTAAGCAATCTTCATTCTGGCAGGTAAGGTTACATCTAAAATATTTTCTGCAACTTTCAATTGTACACAAAATTCCAGCTTCCACGTCGTCGGGAAAAATGACATAATATCATAATGAATTAAATTTTAATTGAATAAATAAGGTTGGTATTTTCTTAATCTGTCATGCCCTCAACAATTTTACATAAAATTTTTAAAAGTTGAAACAAAAAGGTCAACAAATAATGTGTCAGTTGTGAGTAGGTATAGCATTTTGGAAGTATGTTGGGTTAATGCTTGTTAAGCTCACCTACAGTCCCGTTGTAAGTAAGACAGGGTCTAGAGGTCCCGATTTAATGTACTCGCCTCATTCTATCCCAATTTTGCCATAGGGCTTAGAATCGTTGTATCATCCTCATTTCTATTGTTATGGCCCTTTTGGTATTTTGTGTGCATTACTAATAGACTGATGCTGAGATGACAATCATAAAGGCCGATTGACATTATCCATCACATCATATGGTCCGCTCACAGTGCTGTCAATTATTATAGCGTATATTGCTTAAGCTTTAAGGCTGATTCACATTGTCGGTCAGGTTACAGTCAGAACATGTTCATCAGAAATACACGCTACAATAATTGACTGCACTGTGAGCAGACTGTGATGTGACCGATAATGTGAATCGGTCTTTAAGGTGATAGAAAGTAAGAAAAGTATGAAGTAAGTTTACATTGTAAATTCCAAATTTTAGACATACTCTACAAAACCATGAGTGGGCAGTCGTGGTGAACATAATCTTTATCTGCTGATATATACAGGGTGTTTTTTGAGAGCTTTAGTTAAAACGTTTCAGAGAGAATGAAATAGGTAGGTACTTAGGTTTTTGAAAATTTGCAGTTCGGAGTTACTCTGAAGGTCGAATCGATGAAAAATGATTTCAAAATAGTTGCACTTCCGGAAATACCGGAAGTAGCTAGTAACTTTTATTTTGACTTAAAAAATGGCGGATCCAGACGGTACCCATATATGGTACTTATCCTGAAAACGGTTGTAGGTATGGCAACCCATTTATACCAGTGCATTTGCATTGAGAAAGAATAGGTAGCGCTTTTTTAGTGTACTTAAAAAAATCTATGGAGATATATCTCGTCCTGACGTTCCACTTGCCCTTTTGAGTACCTCCTTCCCGCACTCCGTTGACAGTTGAGACTTCCTTTAAATTATGCAGCCCTACTTCAATTAATGTACCAGCTGCAGGGCGTGCGATTCATTTGGTATGGTTCATCTGGCGTTGCTAAACATCACCTGTCATTGGTTAAAAATTTCATATCTAAAATGGTAAAAAACTCGGAACGACAAAGTGTATCTGGTATTTGAACTTTGATGATCTCTTTTACCTAATCTCAAAGGAACTGCCATATTCCGATCGCTTTTGCAGGTTCCATATTGTTTTATCTCTGGCTTTATGGTTCGTCGGAATTCTTGTCATTTCTTGACCTTAGGTGTCCACGACAATCTCTTGCGACTTTGAAGCTCCCCCACCCCGTGCTTCACGGCTCATCTTTATCATAAAAAATCATGTTTTCTATAATTTTGTAAAAGGATCAAAATCGATCCGAGATATTTGTTACAGATACCAAAACAAAATTTATTAATATTAATGTCAATTGTAGTTTACATGAGCAAAACATGGAGTACTACAAAGAAAAGCAATACAATGCAATTTTTGTGACACAGTCATTCTCTAAAGTGCTTGAAAGCATAAAAAATAATAAAGAAAATAGTGAAGAACTGAGACAGCTCATAAATAAGAGCTTACATTCTGATAATGGTGTATTGAGTTTAACTGCTTGTTCATCACTCCTCATGCTGGTTGAAGATAAATCTGTGCAGATATCCACAATATTGTCACAACTATTATCTTCATTATCCTTTACCAAGTAAGTATTTTTTTGTTTTTTTCTCACAGTTAAAAGAAATTATTAGCGAATTTTTGAAAAAAATGCACTATTATATTCGTTATGGCTGGTTGGCTGGCTGTCCGGCTGAGATGTCGGCAATTACAATAGCTAGAGACTTCAAATTTTCACTAAAAGCTTTCTGATGTAGTGTAGATGTGCAGGCTCTAGTATTTTGAGTTAGATTACTCGTGAGATAGATAATTTTAAACTTCGCTAATAAAATACTGATCGGTAGTGCAAAAAATGCGCTTTAATCATGTATATACTGATTTACAACTTGTTTTTCAGAACACATGGAGGCGTTGTGTCACTGGTATGTGATTTATTAAAGATCGATATGAAAGAGAAAATTAAGGTGGATAAGCGGTACAAAAACGATTACAATTTGAAAGTTCCCCAACATCCTTTCATTTCCATACTAAACCAGCACCCGAAGGCTTGGAATAGTATCTTGAACAAAATATCTCCCTTTTATGAATGCTCGGAGTAAGTAAGATTCTTTGCGTAAACAGATCAATAATAAATAAATACAATTATAGAATAAAATTTTATGCAAATGAACAATTGTATCCACTTTTTATGTATATAATTTGCAATCCGTCCGCAGACGTGAATGACACTTTCCAATACAAGCTATGGAATTTTGTCATAAATGTGAGCGAACCACAATCCTTGGATGTAGTTGTACATGTCATACTTTGGCTACCTGTAAGTATATCCTAATTTATTTTTTGTTTTTTATTTATATCTTATACCTATGTAAACAAAAATTGTCCGACGGAGAGAATAATAATCATTCATCATCTTTCAAAATTTCAAAAATTTACACCTAGATACCAAATTCATAAAGATATACATTTTTTCGTACCTATCTTGCGGTCGGAATTTTGAAATTTTTTGTCAAGAGCGGATCTAAAAACCCAGGTTTTTTCGTTCTAACCTTCTATGTATTGTGTTGCCAAGAAATTTGGTGGCCAATATCTCTACCAATATTAAACTTTATTTTGCACATTTGGTTGGCAATTATTTTATTTTGACGACCTATTTCGTGTGGTTGCATTTTACTTATAGAGTTCTCATTTACAGATTTCTGCAAGGCACAGTTTAGCAGCGAGTTCTTTTTTTATGGAGTTAACAAAAACACAACGTTTCAATAGCGATCGGGACTTCAGGGAAGTAATAATTCTATGGCTAACTTCGCTTATATATGAATTATTGAAATTTGAAGAAGATCCTCTACCTTTGATACTTTGCCTATTGAAGCTAATTGAGAACGATGAAGAAATTGTGAGGAACTCCGGTAGTAGTGTTTTGGTTATGCTAACCAATTCGTTGTTATTATGTTCGACTGTATTCTTGCCAGACATTTTGCGTTTATGTGAGTATTGCTGTTTGGCTATAAGGTATCCAGAATTTCTTATTAGCTTATTTAAATTGTTGACAACCGACAGATAAAAATCCTTTTATTACACAAATTCAATGTAATGAGCAATTAATCGAGGGTAAATACGCAAGAGCTTGATTTTTAATCGGATTAATACACTCCATTAATATTCGACCAATCAGCTTGGTGATTGTTTCAAATTCTCACCAATCAGATGATCGAAAGTTTTTTCCAGGAGGCAACAAAATTTGAGTGAATTAAAAATAAAATTATCTTGATTTAAAACCAAGATCGAGTGTATTTTAGAGAGATTAATAAAAGACAGTAAATTTCACAACCACTATATGTTTTACGCCTACGCATTTTTATCGCTGATAAAAAGCTACCTAGCTTTTAATCACTTAAAAAATCATCTGATTGGTTAGAATTTGAAACAATCACCAAGCTGATTGGTCGAATATTAATGAAGTGTATTAATCACTTAAAAAAAATTGTTAGCGCCTCAAATTCAAACTGAATTTTGAGATTCATCATACCTGAAGATCCATGTAAATGTAACAGTCGTTACCATGTTCCAAAACTATGGTACAATTCGAAAATAAGACTACCTGTAACATCCCGAAATAGTTCTACATTTACGTAAATTCCATCGCTTCCCACTGTTCAAACGCAGAAAACTGTACGCATCAATTGACATATAATCTTCCTGTACAAGGCGGATGCTTAGCCGTACAAAATCTTCTAATAACACCAATCAATATAATTTCTAACATTTGCTTCTTGCTAGACTAGATAAATGTAGGATAAATCTAAACATTCACTTTTTGGATGATTAGCAATTGGTTTAGCGCCAATGATAAAGTACTTACCAAAATTATCCACTATTTACCCTTTCATTGTTCTAGGTAGACTGGTGATACAGACAAGCACTTGCAACGAATTATCTTTAAAATTATTAAAAATATCCATCTTGCACTGGACAGCATTCAAAAACGTTCTAACGAACAAGTCATTGGAAGTGGCAAATGAAATAATTCTCTATATTGAAAGCAATAAGAGTTACGTGAACAACACTCAAATGCTCTACTCCAATCGATTATTTAAGATACTCAGCACTTCAAATGAATACCTACATTTTACTGTTCAAGTTAACATTTTAGCAGAGGGATTAACCCAAGCCGAAATGCTTAGTTGGCTGGAGAGAATTAGTACAATGCCAGAGTATATCGCCTCTGATATGATTAACTTTCTGATTTCATTGTTGATATTTGACAATATTCACTCGGATATTATCGTTAAAACTATTGAAATATTGGTTAGAATTTGTAAGGTATACCAAGGATTGAGTACGCAAACACTCATTGTACTGCTCTACATACTTTCTCATTCGAGAGATCCTCGTGTAAATGTCGCTGTGCTGAAAGCGATTCCGAAAATGGCAGTGTTGGATGAGAATTTACCATTAGTTTTAAATATCTTGGATCTTACAAGGAAAGGGATCGAGGGAATGAAGTCGTTTTACTTGCGATTATATCTGGACCTTTGGGAAACCAAGAATAAATGTTATTCACATCTACAAAGCCTACTAGCTGATTCGGGCGTTACTGAAAAAAGTGAGAACGCTAAAATAGAATTTTATACTATGAAAGCTTATGTTGGCAAACAGCTTTGTTTGAAAAGGTAAGCGAATAATTGTTAGGTGTTTAAAAAAACCGTTTGTTTCAGCCCAGAACGTTATGGTAGTGAATTAGTTTCACATTTATCAGACATATTAAATAAATGTAAAGGTGAAGCCGGGACTGTGGCGACCTCTTTGGTTTTAGAAGGAATTGTGCTCTTATGTAAAAGCGGAATTATAAGTATTAGTAGTACGTGGGATGCTTTACAACCACTTTTTCAGAAGGAAGCTCGTGCGCATGTGATTCAAAGGTATATTTTTTTTACATAAATGAAATATTTCCATTATTACTTTTCAATTTAAAGATTATAGACCTCATCAGCGCATTTTGAGTCACATTTATCAATAGGTGCCGTTTATGTAGCCTCAATTCGCTTAGGCTTTGCTACATCTATTTAAGGGAATTAATAATCTATTAAAAGAATCTCTCTGTTTGCTTATGTTTGACTAATGTTGGCATTCCTGTTTCTAAGCTTACTTTGAAATGTATAAAACAATTGTGCAATCATGCTTCCAACTAATGAATTCGTAATGTATTTCAGGTATTGCGAGTTTATGGCAGAAGTAAGTTACTTTGACGCATCAGAGTGTTCGGATGTCGTCATTACTTCAATAATCCAAAAATTGTTTTCTTATGCAATTAACTCGGAAAATGGAGACGTTGTATGCGCTGCGTACAAAGCATTGAGTTGTTTTCCTGTTGATGAAGTTCTTGTGGAATTATGTAATTGTTTGGATACTAGCTTGCCAGTGCACTCAAAAACAGGTAGGTAGGTGCCGATGCAATTAGAAGGTCAGAATGTTAGAGTGATCACATTTGTCATTATTTTAACTTTACATTTGTAGCGCATTTTTCAATGGAGTTAGGTGCGCTATTGCAGCCACTTTCTCTGTCCACCCGTTTGGCCAAGGCCTTAACTACTACAGTTTTTAAGATATTTATATTATTTCTGCATTCGGTAGCGTATTGCTCTGGCACCTGAGCCAAGGAAAATCTTGACGATTAAACTGCGCATACGCAGGCTGCGCAATGTCCCCCTTCTCATTTATTAATATATTTTGTTGAAATTTTAACCACAGACGACCGCATATAGTAAAAATCAGACTGTGCAATGGCAACTTTTTTATTTATGGAGATATTTCTTTGAAATTTTAACGAAAAATACTTTTAGTAAAAGCAAACGTATCGCATATTGTAAACATCAGATTAATGTGCGCATGCGAATATCAACTGTCTTATTTACCGAGATATCTTTTTGAAATTTTAATAACAGATGCTTCTGTTAAAGGCAAACATCTGATATTCCAAACATTAGATGTGCGCATGGGCAGTCAGTGCCAACTTCCTTATTTATGAAAATATTTCTTTGAAATTTTAACAATATAGGGCGAAAACCTTTTTACTTGTTTTTTTAAGTTACACACAAGGCAAGCGTTGCAATTCTTTTGGCAGTACATAATCACAAATTGTGTTTCAATTTATGTTATGCTATTTAGGATATGGCATGAAACTGTTTTTCTACTAAACTACTTTTCAGGATCTGAGCAGAGAACATACTGATAACAATGTCTTTTTTCAGAGGTAAATACACAAGAGCTTGATTTTTAATCGGATAATTTTATTTTTACACGAAAGTTTTGTTGCAACGGAAAAAACTAGATATCAAAAGTAGCTGGAGCGATTTTATAATGTGCTTTTGATCGAGAGTTTTTTCCGGGAAGCAACAAAATTTGAGTGAATTAAAAATAAAATTATCCTGATAAAAAATGAGCGGAAAGAGAAAAATATGCGAAAATTCTCCTCTTTACGTACCATTTACCTGTACCAAATCTCATTTTGGTACACCTAATACTCTAGAAATTATGGCTTGTCTAATAGATTTGTTGACATCCAGTATGTATCTCTTTTTCTATACCAATGAAATTAAATTGTCCACTAAGGTCTTTTAGATTCACAATGTGCCCCTCCCCCCCCCTTGAAGAGTTTCTCTGGATCCGCCACTGATTTTCAATACAACATTTCGTTTTGGGGAACAAGCCACATTAAACTCTGCACGAATTGTAACTTAACTGCGTCTGCACAGATTATTCTGATTGTGACGTGTCTTCAAATAACCAAAAAGGCCAAAACAAAATTAGCGTCCAAAGACCCGTTTGGATCATTGAAAGAAAGCGCATCATTACTGTCCAGGCTTCTATCCTCCCAGTGATTATTATTTTTCCAACAGTGCACACTTTCCTAATGACGTCTGTCCAACTCCATTTTTTTTTTTACATAAATAGTGATACGCTTTAGAAGCGGTTGTCAAATTTGGTACCGAAAGAGGTTTTTATTGTGCATTGAAGCATTGTAATTAATTTTGCCTACTTATAAAGGGCATAATTTCAATTTCATAATGTAGTCCGTATTCAGATTGTATTATATCTAGACAAAAAAAATCATAGTCTATAAAATAACAAATAAGAAAACCTAATTCCAGTGAATTGCTTCAATATAATAAAAACGAATTTTCTTGATATGTTTACCGCGTCTTAAATGTTTCCCATCGTCGGGATAATCGAAGCTGGGAAGTAAATGGTCGCTGAGATGGCTTGTCTCCAGGGAAATTGGCGCTAAGATGGGAATAGCCGGGATGCGACGTTTACCGCCATTATACTCCTACTTCCGCCAATATTAAATGAAACGCCCAAATGGAACGCGTGAGATGTCCCCTCTTCTATAACAAAATTACGTATAAAAGAAATCGTACACCTGCATCCTTGGTTAGCGCCAAACCCATGCGTCTTGACATCAAGTAACTTTTGCGATGACAACGTCCTTATCGCACACGATCATATAGCACTTAAAGGCACTCGACCAGATGTTGCTTAATTTTAAATAGCGCAATTTTCACATCTTACAATTTAAATAAACAAATTTACATGAATGATACAATTTAAATAAGAAATATACTCGTACACTAAAATAAACATTCGCATATGTAGGGTGTTTTTTACTTAGCAGTGCTATAGCTAGTTCTAGAGTCTCATAAAAATAAAACCATCTGATAAAAAAGTATATTGTTAATTAAATCGTTTCTAACATGTATGGACAATTTTATTTCCAAAATTTAATTTTTGTTGCTGCCGATAGAGCAGTTTTTGTGCCATTGTACTGTCCACAATGAAGAGTCCCAACAACATTTGAGGCATATTGTCTTGCTGTAACGGCATGAAAGCAAATTTCTTGTTTAAAATTATACGTAGATTTTGAACATATAATTTTTGCTTTACTTCACAGGATTGTTGGTTTGGTTACGTTTTGAAATTTTTCCAGGAAATCCGTGGATAAGTCTGCTACTGAATAGCAAAGAATCAGACATTGATGCTGTTGGAAATATGCTTAGCAAGTTTATATCCCTCGAAATAAGAAATTTCCGGAAAGGCGTTTATCTTGTACCCGAAGGACGAAAAGAACCTCACAATTATAATTATCTACCCGAGAGAAGTATTTTGAGAGCGATAGGAAATTATATAAAAGCGGAGGTATAATAGTATTAAAGTTAGTCGTAGTAACTTCATTTTAGAAATTTCTAGCTTGAAAATTGGCAGCTCTCAAATGCGTCCATTTATTTGCAATGTCTTCGCGTGTTGAGTCAAGAGTACAGCAAAGCTTTGCCCCCATTCGACTGGTGTTTTTTACAAGAAATCATTCACATTCCCGAAGCCCGAATATACTGCATCATTATAGCGTCGCACCAAGTACAATTGTCCGGCACTGCCCGCAGATTGGTAGAAAATTATCTTGAAGCTGTAATTGAATTCGACGGCAAGGTAAGCATAATGGAAAATCAACGGCGAAATATCCATTTCTTTCTAAGGATGAAGAAATAATCACTGTCTACAGCCAGTTAAGCTTTTTATGTAACAGTATACAACCGGTGACACTACGCCCATTTATAGAGAAGTCTTTACATTTTGCACTTCAAAGACCTACCACACTACACACTTTATTACATCGTTTACAAGATATCCTTGCCAACGATACCATTCAAGAAACTAATAAAGCAACTATCGCTCAAATATTAGTAAATATCACTGGGCACTATCTCTGGATGATCAGGTACATAGCGAGCATTAATCTAATAAATTCTGAATTAGCTTTTCAGTGTTTTACGCCAATCCTTAACTGCATCATCAGACTTCCAAAACGTTTCATCGACGAGCTGAGTTCGCCGAAGTTATGGAAAACTGCATCTCCCGATCTACTAAGACTGTCAGTCAAAATTCGATGTGCAACTGCATTACATACAAATTCTCTAACTTGGATAAATGAGTTTATTGAAGAAGCTTGCTTTTCACCTTTGTAAGCGTTTCATTACAATTACTTCCTGTCACTTTATTTTCGTTTTAGTGAACAGTATTTTGTGTTGATTCATATTGGACGTTTGATGGAAAATTTTAGAAACTCAGATTTGTCTAGTACTTGGATACTGGAGTATATAGGTTATGTGCAAACATCAATTGCGAATGAAAGTTCGTCTAACTACAACTTGCAGTTTCTGTGCAATGTATTAATTATTATTGTTATAATCTTATCGGGGCACAATGTGTTTACTACATTAGAAGAGCTGATAAAGAGTCAAGAAACTTACTTAAACTTGTTTCCACAAAGTTTAGCTAAGCTGATTAAGCTTCCCTATTGGAAAGACAGTGTTGGGCAGGTACTTTGAAATACTTGAGCTATTGTAGATTGATTATTCATTCATGTTATAGGTGGCTGAGTGGATTTTTCATATGTCAAACTGTCCAGAGACTCCGAAACCTTACAAATTAATGTTTTACCAAACACTAACCGCATTACGTCACGATAGCACTGTTCAATCTTCAAGGTGGATGAAATATATAAGCCAACAGCTACCATCTGATTAACGAAAATGTTTTGTTAGGCGCGTACTGTTTTATTTTATATTAAAAATTAGAATAAAAAAAATTTGGTAGACTGACTACGCACTCAGATCCCATGGATTTTTTCGCCAGATTCTATTTAATTGATTTCCGGTCACATTGAAATAAACATACATACAAAGACGATAAAGGTCGTCGCGCACATACGCGCGGCGTGTCGAATCGCCTTTTTCGCTCACATTGAGTGCAATGCGCCACGCCGCGCTTCGCTCAAGTGAGTGTTTGCCTATTTAAATGAATGTGAGCGAAAAAGGCGCATCGCCGCGCGTATGTGTGACACATTTGAATTTGGAGGCAGGAACTTGCCTTCTTAACGCAGCGTGACGCTACTCAACACAACGCAAATCTAAATGCGGAATTCTTAAGGCAGGAACATACTTACCTGCCGCGACGTGACGTTACGTTACTCAACGCAACGCAGATCTAGACGCCGAATTATTATAGGAATGAATCACTGAACTATAATTATACTGGAACGCGCGATCTGAGAGAGAGGGCCCCAAGGGGGATCTCTATCCTACTCTCGCGCATGCCTATGTGATATGTTTTGAATTTATAGTTTCCAATGAGTGACAGTGACAGAAATCCCCCTTGCACTATCTCTCTCGGCGCGCTACGTTTCTATCCCCAGACACCGGCAGTGCGCTTTCCAGTTTGATTATAGTTCAGTGGAATGAACACGCTTCCCTGACGCAGCGTGTTGTAATGCTTTTCATTCCTATAAGAATCCGGCATCTAGATATGCGTTGCGTTGAATAACGTCACGTTGGGTCAGGTAAGTATGTTCCTGCCTTAATGCCAAGCTCTCTATAGCTATAAGCAAGTACAAAATAGTATATTACAACATGGGGTTGTAGTAGTGCTATTATAATTATGCCCCTATTGAGCACTCACGAATGTGAATCTTTGTACTGATACACAGAAACGCTTTAAACAGTGGAAATAAAGGCAATGTTATGGATCTCGTTCTATTTTGACAATTTTACAAAATATTATTAGAACATCTGTTTTTATAAACAATATGCCAACTCAATTACTATGTAAATGTATGGCACGATATGAACGATATAACAAGTGCGTATTACAGGTGAGTAGAAAAATAGCGCAGAGGTCGGCAACTGTAATACGCAATTTACTACTAATTACGTACCATGCTCTTTCTATTATACGACCTCCGGGAATTTAGACATGAAAATAAGGCAAAACCCAAAACCTCGGAGAAGGAAAGAGAGAAGAGTGATTATAATGATTGTGAAGAGAAGTAAATTTAATTTGTTTGTGCACCCAAAACACGACACGATAAACCGATATGTTATAAATTTATGCATATCGTTTCTTTTCATTATAATATTATACAATAAGTGCAATGGAGGTACGCCATTGGGTCAAGAAATGCAAACTAGCTGATGTAATAAACAAAAAGTAAACAGTTTCTGTGCACCAATAATATGGCCGGCACACGAAAATTTGCTTCAATGCGCAGGCCCCTTTCTTCCATAGTCAAAGCCCAGAACCATAGGTATACATGCAGTGTGCGCATGTGGAGACTGCGCAATGCTGACTTCCCTACTTATTAAGATATTTTATGAAATGTTAACCACAGATTATTCTAATAAAGATGAGCATATCGCATATTGCAAAAACCAGATGTGCACATGCGCAGATTGTGCAAAGCCAAATTTGTTTATTTATGGAGACATTTTTTTGAAATTGACGCTTCTAGTATAGAAAAATATACCTAGCTCGCACATATAGCTATGGCCTTTTGGGAGTATTGATCAATGCGTGGAAAATACGCTAAAGTTGATCGCCTTAGGGCGTAAACCTTTTTACTTGTTTATACTAATAACGAAATATATCAAGCGCTATTGAAACAAAATATACCTACACGGTGTCCATTTTGCGAGTGCCACTATGGGAATCTCGCTTATCTTAAGAGATAGAAACTTGGTTAAATTAGAGTAACGTTGCGAATTTTCGTGCTGAATAATAATCTAAAAATAAATTTATAATATCATCAATAGTTTTGAAAATATGGCAAAAAATCGAAAATTTCTGATTTTCATTTTTAACTTTTTCATGGTAAACTAATTGTACTAGACATTTCTAATTAACACATTATTCAGACACTTTTTACTGGATATTTCGAATATGGCATCCCGTTTTTATTAACTTTCAAGATAACGGAGAAACGTGGCAACTTTAATTTTTTTATGGGCGCCGTTTTGGATTTTGACATTTTGAGATTAGGTCTGTCTTTCTCTTTACAACGATATATCACACATGGTGGTTCAGTATCACATTTTTTCTAAAAATACAATTTTCATTTTCTGCAGTGCTATGCAAAAACAACACGTTCTTTTGTTGTGAACAAAATGTTGACTTATTTCAAGCAGTGTCATTTACGTTTGTGCTAGTTTTATTGCTAAAATATTATTTATTCTTATGTATTTTGTTCTAATTTGAATTATAATTTTCTTGCAAAACGAAGGTCAATTCTGTTCATATGAAAATCGAATTTTCTCAACACATCTATAGTTCCCTGATGTCAACGCTGCAACCGGACATATGCATTAAACTGTCAAACTTTTGTTCACAATAAAAGAACGTTTTGTTTTTCCAAAGAACTCTTCCCAAAAAATTAAAAATTGTATATTAGGAGAAATGTGATACTGAACCACCTTGTGTGATATATCGTCGTAAAGAGAAAAAAGACGTAGTCTTAAAATCTCAAAATTAAAAATGGCGCCCATAAGAAAAACTAAAGTTGACACGTGTTTCTCTGTCATCTTAAAAGTTATTTAAAATAATGTGTCAATTAGAAATGTCTAGTACGACTAGTTTATCATGAAAAAATTAAAAACGAAAATCAGAAATTTTGGTTTTTTTGCGATATTTTTCAGAACTATTGATGATATTTTAAATTTCTTTTCATATGGTTATTCAGCAGGGAAATTCGCAACTTTGCCCCCATTTAACCAACTTTCTATCTTTTAAGGTAAGCGAGATCCTCATATAGTGGCCTCGAAAAATGGACCCAGTGTATGTGTAGTTTGAGTTACAAACAAATAACTGTTTCGTTTTTAGAAAAATATTATATTCCATGTTTATTAATATTTCTGCATCATTACATCAACATTAGGTGATCAGGGTATATTTACTTTTAGGTACTTTTTAAAATACTTATTATGTAATATTTGCAATGTGAAATTCAGAAGTGGTTTTGCAAAATAATAAAAGACACATAAATTTCAAATATATCGTTTTAAAAAACTAAAACCAAACCAATATCCAAGTGGCAGAATAGTTAACATTTATGCGCACATGGTACGCACATACGCATTGAGTTTTAAATTTGTTCTAGATAATAGTACGTAGGTACCTACTGTAAAATATTTCCCAAATTCGTTTTTTTTGTCGCCCCTAAAAACTTACCGCTATGGGGCCGGGCTCACATGGCCCTAGCTACGGTAAATCCGGCCCTACTCTGGCATTGCTAGAGTAATAGTGTAAGCATGCTAGAATTCGCCGCAGTTCTTCCTCCATTTCTTGGTTGTGGTCTTGGTCTTATGGTTGGATGTGGAGTGAACACTTGTTGCAGAGTTGAGGCGAAGACTTCTGCTTTTCGCCGGCTTCGCATATATGTTCCCATCAGGAGTCTTCAGGGGGTAGGCGGGTGGTTTCCATTTTGTCAGCGATTTGTCGATTTGAAAGAACGTCCAGGTCATATTCGACCGTGTTTTGGATGTGAGTCCCCCACTCTTCTTTGTTGTATTGTCTAAGTGCCTCGATCCTTAAGGGCTACCTGTTTGGCATTGAATGGCCGGATCCCTGGTTATTTGCCAAAGCTGTACCAGGCGTCTTTTTTGTTTCATCTCGTTTCTTAGGTATCACGGTCTTCGCTTTCCTTGTTTATCATTTATGCAGCTTCGTCTTTGTGTCCGAGCTCTTCGGGGTTTCTGTTTCTGGGAAGATCGGTATGGATCTCATCTGAGCAGTTTAATTCTACTTTAACGCCGCCCGTAGCAGTACAGCATTTCGGTTTCCCGAATTTGAAAAATAATAATAAATTAAATGGGGAAATGAGCATTAGGTACGCAGAATTTTACAAGCTACAAGAAACCTATTTACAACTTCGCTCTGAATTAATTACAGGAGAAGATATTTCGATATGAAGAAATTAGCATTGAAATCCATATGGTGCTTAAACCGTTTCTAGGTTTCTACACCCTGTATAAGTATATTTAACTCGCGTTATTCCAAGTTTTTTGTCAGTTAACATTCGGTTGCGGTAGACATATATATGGAACGCCTTTTTAGTATTTATACCAACATTTTATCATGTATCATTTTAAACAACAGTCAATCTTATGTCTCTAAATTTTTCGTTTGTTGTTTTTATCTTACGTATTAAGAGATTGATTAAAAAATGTTGATTAATAAAGATGATACATGAATTAAAATGTTTGTTGATAATTTTAATTAGGCGCTAGTATACACGTAGTCAAATAGACTAAACTGTAGTTCCTGAAACTTCCGCACAATCAGAGATACGAATTATCAACAATCATTTTAATTAATGTAACATTTTAATTCAACAATCACTTTAAATAATTCTTGCCGATTTTAACAGCATGAATTCATATGATTGTTGAATTAAAATGTTCTCTGAAAATATTTGTACAATTTTATTCCAAAATTTTACAATGTGCCATTTTAAATAACAGTCAATCGTATGCCTCTACTTTTTACGTTTGTTGTTATTGTCTTACGTATTAAATATGATTGTTTAAAAAATGTTACTTAATAAAAATGTGAAATGAATTATATTGTTATATTGAATGAGTGTATATGAAACTGTATTTCAACAAACAATTAATAACAAACAATTAAATTGAATTGCAAGAAATACTTCGATTAATAAAACGATTTTGTCCAACAAACATAAAAATTAATTCATTTTAAATGTGGAATTAAAATTATCAACAAACATTTTAATTCATGTAACATTTTAATTCAACAATCATTTTAAATAATGCTTTCCGATTTTAACAGCACGAATTAATATAATTGTTGAATTAAAATGATTGTTGATAATTTTAATTAGGCGCTAGTATACACGTACCCAAATACACTAAAGGATAGTTCCTGAAACTTCCGCACAATCACAGATACGAATTAAAATTATCAACAAACATTTTAATTCATGTAACATTTTAATTCAACAATCATTTTAAATAATGCTTTCCGATTTTAACAGCACGAATTAATATGATTGTTGAATTAAAATGATTGTTGGGAATATTTGTACAACACTTCAATAATTGAATTAATATGATTGTTGAATTAAAATGTTTGTTCATAATTTTAATCCCACATTTAATATGAATAAATTTTTATGTTTGTTGAATTAGTTCTAGTTAGTTATATTACTGTTCGTTTATGTATTCGTTTGTTGATTTGTATTGTTAAACTTTCGTTATACACATTGCTATATAATTCATACATCATTTCAATTAAGTGAAGTTTTTTAAACAAACATATTTAATGTTTCACATAAAAACAACAAACATAATAAATCGGGAAATAAAATTAACTGTTGTTTATAATGTTACATTGTAAACTTTCGTAATAAAAAGTAAAACGGCGTTCCATATATATACTTTGACTGTCGTTGCTTTGATTTTATTACAACTTCATTTTGAATGTGTGGTCATTGACAAAAGTAATGATCGCCTACCATAGGTAAATTCTGCAGCATACCAGCATAATCAACTAACATGCCTATCACATCGGACTCCGTGGGTTTCCTCAAGGAGGAGATAGGTACCTTAATTTGTTGGTTCGCATTTACAAATTGCACAATATGTTTAAATGTTGGTTGCGTTATGCGTATGCTGCACGATTTACTTATTCGGCGATCATTACTTTTTTGTCAATGTGTACATACGTAAAGCAGTATTTATGATCCTATTCTATTTACATCTGAAATAATATTTTGCATTTCTAACCGCGATTGTTGGTTTATATTGATAATTCCCCTTTAGCTTCTTTAAGGTTAAGAATCCGGTCATATTTAATGAAACAATTAATTTTCTTGCAATGCATAAATACCTACGAGTAACATTACTCGTAGATAAATACACATACCTACGCTTTACGTACGCTCAAGGTTATATTCTTTTTAGATTCTGCATTCTTTCAAATTTCTGCATAGGGAAACCCCGTTACAACAAATTACGTCATACTTCGTCGTGTCAAAGAGGGCCTGTCTGAACCCATCGACAAATGCTTGGTAGACATTTTCAACATTTATTTAAATAATTGATATTGTTTTCATTTTGGTTTTTAGTTTTGTTTTGCAATTTGAATTTTTAACGGCCTACTATACAATTATACTGGGAGGCTTTGAAAATCGAATTGTTGAATTACAAAAAATATGTATACTTACAAGGTAAAAATACTGTCATGCTTAAGGTGGGAATAGACCAAGCAAACATTGTTGTGCAACAGTTGAATAACAGGTAGGCAACTGTTGGCTAACTTGTTTCCGTGGGGAGAAAACATTGTCGACAAACTGTTGGTCAACATCGACCAGCCTACTTTGTCCGGTGTTTGTCCAGTAAAGTTGACCCATATACGCGTCTACACTGAAGATGCTGTCTGCATACTGTAGGGCAACATCTCCTTTGAAGTACCGCCTCGTAAGCGAACACCGCGCAGCAGTTCGGCAACAGCTGCACAACTGTTGTGCAACACGTACTCACTGTGTCAACTTGTGTGTTTTTCGACTGTTGTTCAACTGTTGCACAACAATGTTTGCTTGGTCTATTCCCACCTTTAGATATATCATATATCATTAGAAAGGTAATGAAATCCTACCCTTGATGCAATAAAAAAACTTGGTAGTTCCATTAAGAAAAATTACAAAGTCACAAAAAAAGTTTAACTTGACCGTTCGGCGTATGTTAATACATTTGATGATTAGTATCACTGCAGAGTTACGGCCATCTAAGTTTTATCATTGTTTAAATACTTTATTTAAACAATGGTTTTATGATGACTGCAATATTCAATTTTTACTGAACATCTACTTTTTGAAAAAATGACGAATTGCGACTAAACGATTTTTTAGATATCATGTCATACTCATACTAAAATTGACCAAGAATTCGAAATATGCAATAATATACAAGGGGTTCTATTTAAAAAAAATGCAACTTTGATATAAATCACCCTGTATAACAATTGGAATTTTGTTAAAAACGGTTAAAAATATATTTATGTTGTAGCCTTAAGAGTCCTTCGATATGCCCCGACCATAGATGTATGGTATGTCTATGGACAACGAATTTTAGATATGTACTACGTTAATGAACCCACAATCTTCCACCCACGCACTAATGGGCCACCCTGTAATTTAGTTCAGAACAATAGGCGTAAGATCCTAAATAAGGTGTATGGTTTAATACTTTGTTTTATAACAAACATTAACAAAATCACAAAAGCATCTATACTACTCCATTTGCAACACAGTGACTTATGTAGGTAGGTATATCGGAACACTTGGACTTTTGAGTTGAGTGAAGAGCAATATTTCAATAGAGAGCAAAGTGCGACATCTAACATCTAATACATTTAATGTTATACTGATGTTTCATTATCTGACAAATGAGTAGAAAGGGACAGTGAAGTTGGTCTAGACTCGATGTGTTCCGAAATGCAGAGAATCTCATCTTCAATGGGTCGTAAACGTGACGGATCTAAGCTTCGTGTTTTCTCCTGATTGTGATGTTTTACTTTATGAGGAGTGCGGTTTGGAGACGATTTGCGGCTACCGTTAAATGATTTGAGCAGCTTTGCCCTAAAATATTGGTTTATGACATTTGCGTATACTTGGTGGTACTTACGCATCTAAAAGTTTCAAGAGTAACCTATTGTACGCTTGGTATTCTTCATCTCCAAAATGATTGGGATCATGCCGAGCGTGATCGTATAAATCACAAAATTGGTGTATAATCCTTTGCCCAGTGCCATTCAATGGTGCTGCCAATGCAGTCAGTAAATATGCACGGAGGTTATCATTTGGATACCTTACTAAACAATGATCTTGTCGGCTTATTTCAGTTTCTAAAATATGAAGGAAAGTGCTCGAGCTAGTGAACTTGAGATTCTACCTAACAGTTTGACATCATCCACTGCTTTTAAACGATAGTAATGGGCAGGAATTTGTTGACCTGGGTATAAAATGTATCTCGAGTCTGTGTTATGTAAAAGTTGAGGCTCACAAATTATACGAGGAATTAAATCTATTCTTCTATCTATTTCACGTCTAATCAGCTACAATTTGAGTTCTCGTCACTTTCCAAAACAGCAAAAATTAAAGCGTACCTTTTTCGCATCATGACCAATTGGAACATGCGGACCTCGACGTGATCGTAAAGCAAATCGCATTATCTGACGTTTGGCAAAAATGAATAATATTATAAAAGTTAAGACACCTAAACCTATTATTATAATGATATTGACACCTGATAAATCTTCAGACATTGTTCTCACAATTACTATTTTTTTTAATTGAGCAGACATTGATTCGATTTTTATTTTTTAATTTTTAGTACACATCCAAACATCGTACATTTTTACTTCTGCGTCTAGCAATTCGGTAGAATACTTAATTCTTAAACACCATGTACGAAAATAAGAATCCCTACACATCAACAATAACATACATAACCTTAATAACCTCTTTCGTACGTCAGACAGACGATTTTGAACTACACCAAATAGTTCAATTAATTCATACAGGGTAGAGTGTATACCGGGTGGTGCCTAACGCGACGCAGCATAGGGATTTCAATGGTAATTCCTTTATAGTCAATTACTAGCTCCCCAAATTGTTTTAGAGAAAAAAAAATTTATAGTCTGCTATACTATAGTCTGAGTCCTCCTAGTGTAAAATAGGCATATTGCTATAGTATAGGTAGGTAATAAATAACAGAGCAAATGCGTCAACTCCTCGAAAAGTGGAATAATAAAACTAGCACAAATCAAATGTTTTAATGTCAAATTATATGGCATAATTAGCTATTAATTTAATTCTTCACAAAATTTTGTTAAGGAAGTAATCTTGATAACAATAGGTGTACTTCGTAAATCTTATTTACACAAAATTACTTCTGTATTTTCTATAGATATTATTGAATTTAAATTACTACATATATAAACTTAAATAATACATGCATTTCCTTTTTTTAAGAACACACTTGAACGTTTCGTTGGCCGGGGAGATAAAGAAAGCTCAAGCGATTAAATTTGACAATATTATTATCATATAAACATCGCATCACTAGTTTTATCACATAACACGTTATCAGCACGACGATACTAAAAAGAACAAATATAAACATACCGTGGATATTTCGTAAGTATTTCATCGTATGATCCTGTTCGTCCTTTGTAGGAGGCGAAAAGTTAAACCAATCCGAAAGGGGCGCGTCCGTGGAAACAATCTTTAAAAATTTGGCAAATGTAAAATCATTATACGTATCCAGTTCTCGAGGTGAGCACGCTATACCGTGTAAATTGGGAACGCCGTAGTGTTGCGTAGGGGAACTAAATCCTCCGAACTTGTTCATTTCCGTATAAAAATCTAACAAGTCATTACATTTCCAAAAGTTGTCATTTAAAATTATATTTCTCAATTTAGAATTGTGACGCATGATTTCCTTTAAATCGAGTCGATGAACTTTTACATCGCTGATATCTAAATCTGTTAACTGTCCCAAAGGGAATAAGTACGTAGGAGTGAAAGTTTCCAAATTATTATGCGAAATGTTTAAAATCTCAAGAGCGGTCAATCCTGAAAACGCGTGTAACTGAAGGGAGGAAATGAAGTTTTCGGACAAATCTAACGTGTTAAGTTGTTGTAGATCTTCAAACAGACTGACGGGTATAATTTCGATGCGATTATTTCTCAGAGTTAACGATTTTAAGTTTGTTAAACCACGAAATGAATTCGATTCTAAATGATGTATGAAATTATTACACAGGGATAGTTCATTAAGATGACGATTATCCAGAAAGGTGCCATTTTTTATTTTCGTGAGTTGATTGTTCTTCAACTCAAGAATGTTGACACAATTGTCTTCGTCAAAGCATTTGAAACTTCCTGGATGTAGCTTTTCTATCATATTATTGGCCAAGTCTAAATGTTGCCTGTGTGGAAATGAACTCCCTTCGATAAATGTTGTTTTAGAAAAGGTATCTGTCGCAATTTCCCTGATACGATTTGACGACAAATTTAGTCGCGTTACTTTCAAACCCTCAAAAACATGGTCGATGGCTGAAAAACTGTTCTCAGACAATGTTAGCTTTGTTACAAATGTTCTATTAAGGACTCCAGCAGGTAAATGCGATATTTTGCTATTTCGAAAATTGATTTCTTCAAGTTGCGAAAAATGACTGAACACTTCTGGCGCAATGTAATCAATTTTGTTATTTTCAAAAAAGAACCGTTTCGTTTTGTTAGTAAATTCACTTAACACATTTGCACTTATTACTTGAACATTACTGCTGCTCAAATTGAAGGTGTTCCCCACAAAGTTCTTCAGAATTGTTTCTTGATTAAGAACGGGGATGTTACAATCAAGACATTCTAAATTCGTAATTGGACTGTCTCCTACAGGAAAGAACTGAGTGTTAAGCGAACATCTTAATGTTATGTAGACATATCCTTCTTTTTTTTGCCGACATGTTGAAGCCCCAGACAAATTACTTACACGAAAGCACAGCAAAAATAAAACACATAAAACAGTAAAACTCATGATTTCGAACATTGTGTATAATTAACAATTACCTACTATTTTTAAATTCAGCCACATCATCCTCATTCGATAACAAAATAGATAAAAATACTTCCTTCTTATAAGAGTATTAAAAAACACGCTTTTAAGATTTAAATGGTTTTTCCTTAACCGATGACGAGATGTGCAGAAATAACACACAGGGTGTTCGTCTTACTATATTCTTTCACATACATCGCTGTTGAAGAGAATTCGGTTTCTAGTTCCCTGCGTAGGTACCTACAGTTACGATTTTTTCTAGTCAACAACTACAATATATAGAGCCAGAGTCAAATTTAAACCGAAGCTAAAGTTTCGAGGAACTTTTTTTTGCAGCTCCAAAATTTTTTATGGAGGTGGGGGAGAACTTTATACAACCATAGTGCAAGAATGATAGGAGGTAAAGAAACGCTTTTGTTTCCACAGAACGTACATATATGTTACACGCGATGAGCAAGAAGGTGTCGCTCGATCACACTTTCCAGTACCGCCCTCCGACACGACACGGGAGGTGGACACAACAGCTGTATATTTTTCAGCGTTCCTTAGCACGTAGTTTGATGAACGAAGTAAGAGCAAAAAATGATGGAAAAGCAGCAAATGCCATTTTACGGGGAGAATTTGTTGTAACATACCCCTATAATTAGACAACACACCTCACAACTGTAAAAAATGCAGTATGGGAAAATACCAAACGCCCGTGTATACAACAACCACGAAGGCTTCGCCTTTGACCGTTCTGCGCAGATGCGTGGGAACAGGGATTTTATACAACAAAACTTGGCCTTTAGCGTCGGTTAACGGAATGGCAACGGCATCGATCATGATCGATTTCGTTTTCATTTTCCTAGTTCAAACGGTCGGAAATGGACGGTTCTCATTAGCACCTATGGACACTTATTTTCGGAAATTTGAATCTAATTATTAGAAATTCCATAATGCGCTTGATGTAGACACTACAAAATCACTTTTTTGTTTCTTATGGAGGCCATATGGGATTTTTACGGAATGAGGTAGAGGATAAAATAAAAAGTGCCGGTAGAGTGACTGTTCTGCAACTACAGTTGCGTGTGCAACTGTTTTGTGACCTTGATAATGTATTGGAGTGGGAAAGCGCACCAGTCGCGTCGTGTGCACTTTCCCACTCCAATACATTGTCGAGGTTACAAAACAGTTACACGCGCAACTAGTTTGCAACTGTAGTTGCAGAACAGTCGCTCCGTGTGCGCTAGGACTAAGGGAAAATGAAAACAAAATTTGACATTTATAGTTTTTCGGTGATGTAGTTATTTTTCAAAAATTCCAAATGCGTTTTTTAGTCACAAAAAGGGACTAGTTTGCCACCATTTAACCTGCACGTGTAACCCTCCTGTTACGGAGATGCCAATGGTGTACCATCCTGTATTTTTCGAAGAAGTTGATTCTTTTGACGTAATCTGATTTGTACATGCAATTTACCTACCATTCTACGAGTTGTTTTGCCTAAATTGAACCGTAGATGTGTTTTGTACTTGATTTTGTTCATCATATTTTCAACTTGTGTTTCGTTCTTGTTGACTGCATATTTGACTTGATTACCTGATTCGATTTGTCTTGCTTGCATTTATGATGTCTCTTGTGTTTGTATGAATTTGTTTAACTGCATTTGATTCAATTACATGATTTGTAGCATACATTTTGAGATGTTTTATTTGTGTAGGTATTTTCTCTTGCGTTTTGCTGTCATATACACAAAACAAAATTGTGTGTGTTATATCGGGGTTTTTGGCCCAAAAAGGTTTCCCTGGTATCGCCTTGTTGTGTTCTTGTCTTGTCTTTTGTTATGCACAAAATTCTGCGTGTTATTCAATTACCTACCTTCCCGATTATATTTCACGCCCCAACACAGAAAAGCGAACCGATTATACACCTTAGGACATATCGTACCACCTGCTCCTAGCTGTACCTATACGCTACCGAGATTCAAAAGTATCGCGAAATGGGCGCTTTTTTACGAGAAATTGTAGTTCCGGGTCTATCTATTTAGGTATTCTATTTTCTAGGAGTTGGAAATAGAAGGTAAAAGCACAGACGTATATCTGTGGTAAAAGCAAAGTAATTGCTTTAATTTGTAGCATCGTTTTAGCCGCCGATAAGGATCTCACGACATCGTAACTAATTATAATCTTTTTTAACCGTTCCCGTAATTTTAATTAGGTATCTTTGCAGCATCCGAAAGCTCTCTTCGGTGTGATTTAGAGGGAGCCTTTTGTTTGTGCCTCCGTTCCCGCTTTGTCAAATCGCGACCGTTTCCGTGCGCCGTAATTATGCTTTAGATTATTCCCCATTGACCGACCGCCCGTTCCCTACTGGAATCGCCATTTCCTCCTTCTGATTGTCTGAGGCTTGTGAAAACCGTTCCGAAACCACCGACGTTGCCCAGACGCAGCTGAGTTTCCGAATCCATCAAGTATAACCACCACTTTTTTTGATCTTCCACAAAAAATGTTTGTGGTCGCCGAGTACCTATTCCTGCTAGATTTACTTGCCAGTGGGTTAATTCTCTGGCGATTACCTCGCTGGCTAGGGTGACATCAATTATTTGTTATTTTTGATTCTTGTCCTGATGAAGCCCCTTATACCTACTAAAGTGGCCAGTGGGCGAAACGTTGACTTTTCGTTCAACATTGACACGGTCCTCTCCCGAAAGACGCTTGTAGATTAATCGATTAATGACTCTGGCCATCCTCTTTGACATAATTAAGAACGTTCACGATACCAAAAAAAAGTATTACCCGTTAACATTGCAATTAATATTGCACTAGAAATGTCGAACTATGATATAGGTACCTATCTCACATTTTTACTGCAATTTAGGGTGCGCAAATTCCTAATGTTTTGATACGATGCATACGTATGTATTCATTTAAAAGAATGTCTACGCAGCCCGTATATACATCGTGGAACAGCTCAATCTTAATTCCTTCGCCAATTTCATGAAAGAACATCATAATAACGCATTTATTCCATAGACATATTATGAGTATTCCCTACTAGCAGGCAAGAAAACTAACGCCCACTGTGAGACTTGTAGTTTTAAGAGCTTATTCAAGATATGCTTTTGTTTTTTGCATACGTTTATTAATATTTATTCTTCTTTTATAATTTTCGAGTTATAACGCAAACTTAGATTTTTTTAAACGGTAAATAGTTGGTTTCTGTTTACAATGATATAAGGTTCATTGTACTTACTTTGACAAATAGGTAAACATGATACAGAACTGTTTGTATTATTCAGAGTAGTAAAATTAGTATATTACGCACCGAGTGCGAAAGTAGGTTATTTTTCGAAGAATTTTAATCACCCGAGGCGCGCAGCGCCGAGGGTGATTATATTCTAAGAAAAATAACCTTTCGTCGAGGTTCGTATACGATTTTATTCACGATCATCATTATAATCATTCCATTATCAAAAATAAAATAATTCACTAAATTTATACGAATTATATTCATCTTATGCGCCATCTGCAATATTATTGCCCCACATAAAATGTTGTCGGTAATACAGATTTGGAAATTTACCTAATTAATATTCATATTAATTTAACATGTATGTTAAAAAATGGCCCATACTAAAGAATTTCAATGTACATCCCCTCAAATAAGGGAAATTGAGTGTAGTAAAAGATTTACTCCCCAAATGAATTTTTAAAGTGAATGAACAATGGTGGGCAGGAAAGGGTATAGATAAAACTTCATGTTTTACTTGCTTATTTTAATGAGGTAAAGGTAAAGAAATCATCCACATTATGAACGACCAAATAATGTTGTGATCCACATTCAAACCTAATGCGGTAATGCCTAATGACCATGTCAGTTTTATTATTCTAAAATGTACCTACAGCGATCTTTTGTGATTACAGATTTAGACTGGGTTACAATATTAGTATTATAATCTGTGCAGATGTCAATAACGAAAGATTTATTCTCCAGATCCAATCAGGTAGTCACTAAACACCTGTTCCAATACGATAGTCCTAAAAAATAGCATTATCTATTTCTAAAATGTGACAAATTACATTTAATTACCGGACATTGTTTTTGGCATATGATCGCTACAATATTAGCAAGTGCCAGTGGAGTTCTTCAACTTAAAACAGTTCGGTGGCTGTAGATTGGCTGCAGTAGCAGAAGGTTTCGTCGCCAATTCAGTGGCCCATTTGCTTTACGGGCACGCGAAAATAACAAAGTATGGCAGTATCCTCTTCAGGTAGTACTACGATGTCTCCGATATGCAACATTATGATGCCATAAATTGCCATCCCTTGCTCTTCTCATCGGTCGCTAGCGCAACCCAAGGTTTCCATGTCTTATAGACAAGAATTGAACTTTTCCACCCAGAAATTTAAACAGTAATGGGCTCTCTAAAGTAACAATCAATTTCATTAAACTCAAGTTCGAGTTTTATATACTTTATACTTACCGATCCTTTAATAATTAACGGTTTCTTTTTGCTTTTGTTTTTACTTAACCATTTAGCACCGCGCCCGTTTAGTTTTAGCATTGAATTTATAACTATCAGAAGCGCAGGTTAAATGGCAGGATATGTGACTGTTTTCAATAGTTTAAATTACAAGACGTAGATGTCTCTACCATCGAGAAAGATGAATAATAATGTCAGTTTTTTACCTTTGTTAATTATTATACAGGAATCTGTAATGAACCCACTATCTCGATTTGTAATTGTTGTATACAGAATTCTAGATACCCAAGAAACGTACTTATAAGGCATTTATGTGGCACACAGGATGTTGAATGACGTAAGATAAACATTCTTCCTTTCATGAATCGTGACCTTACTTAACATTCCTTAAGGAAGATTGAATTACATTTGAACAGGAAAGCAAAAAATACGCAGGCATCCTTGATCACTGTAACAGAAATTAAATGTACCTACCTATCTATTCTTAATTTTTGTGTGTGTCGGTTAAACCGTTGCCACCGGTTAAACTACCTA